AATAAAGTTTATTATCAAATTTTAGAGTTGAAAACAAACTCAATAAAATTTAATTTTAAGAGGATAAATTGTCTTGTATCTTTTTAGAACATATCAGTATCTTCAAAAAAAAAAATTACTATTACTATTATTATTATTATTATGTTTTTGGTATGTGATTTATTTTTTAAAGATAAGTAATTTACAGTGCTCTAATCAAAGATCAAATTCTCTAGTTGATTGTATATTTCAATTAACAAATATCAATATTCTTGTCATTTTTAACATAGTGTAAATTTCTTAAGTGATACACTAAGATCAATACAATGAAAAATTTCTAAATGTTTGAGTACTATGAGTATTAGAACCATGGCTAAAAATTACAAATACTTCAGCACTTTAAAGACAAAATTCTCCCGTTGTTAATTCTATTCAAAAATTTGTAAGCTCCCCGTACATACCAATGCATTGCAATACCTCAAACTTACTTAATGAGCCATAATATCTCCACATCATTTTTGTTCTATTATTCTTAGCAATTATTAATTTTAGATTTTTTTGATATTGCATAAAACTTAATTATTAACTTTCCAATTTCATAAAACATTTCCTGTTTATATATATATATATATATATATATACACATATATTTGACTGTAGTCGCACTATTATAAATATGCATTTGAATTCAATATTTTCTGAAATCAAATACACGCATCACTCAATAAAAACTCTCCAACTTAGACATATTAATCTTTAATAAGCAAAATCAAAACTCAACAGCTTTTGAGATTTTTTCTTTTCTTTTCTTTTATTACAAAATGACCATGAGTCCTTCCAACTGTAAAAAGTAGGTAAAATTGAATCACCTTTTGCTAAATAATTTTTCTTTAAAAATGTTCATTACACAATTTTATCTCAAATGAAGCTTATGTAACCATTCATAAGAAAGTATTAATGATTATTTTCAAAAAAAAACTCACCTTTTTTTTGGATATTGCACAAAAAATTTATTGAAAGCTTCAATTGTGAAAAAAAAATCATAAAATAATAATTAAATTTATAAAAAAAACAAATGTCCACTTGATGCTTTCAACTTGTGTGAAATATTATTACAATTCTTTTCATAATGTCTCAAAAATATGATAATATTAAATAATTATAATTTATCTTATTTTATAAGATTCGAAATCAATATTGTTGAAATGTTTAGTTTGACAATTATACTACATCTGAAGAGAATTTTTTGGTCTCAATTTCCTTAAAACATTATCTAAATGATTTATTCATGAAACACTTATAAGCATTCCAATCAATAAAATTTTAAAATGAAGTTTCTAAATTCATACGTTATTAATTGGATGTTATGATTTTTTTTATAAACCTCAAATGTAAATTGAAATTAAACTACTGGCTTTCAGACTTGAAAAAATGTATTTAATCACTTCCAAAAATTTCACTAAATCAGCTTTTGATTTAGATTTAGATTATTTCCTTAATTCCAAACATGTCGATTATTATATGAACATTTTTCTTTTGTTTTTATTTGATTTGGATATATTTGTAAAAATGTGTATTAAGAACTTTTTAAATTTATAATTTAACGTAATCATACTTTGTGAGTGAAACTAGTTCTTGGGCTATTAAACTATTATTCATACAAAGTAGCAGATTTTTCTTTTTTTTGAGAATTAATTATAATTTGGAATAAATATTACAAGATTCCTTGAAATAAATTAAATTAATGCATTATTTTTCTTTTCAAAACTTGTTTCAATAAAAAATTCAGAATTCTGTAATTGTGCAAAAACAGTTATGTATGAATATCTTTATTCTTTCCCTGAGTATGCTTTTATGAATTACAGTGCATTTTAGTATTGTGTGCAATGAAATTTATTAATAAATCCTTTTTACTCAAACATTTATAATTTTTATAAATAAATATTTTATTCATATTCAAAATTGAATGGTTTTTTCTTCATTTTCTCCTGAAGATAAATATAAAAAGAACGGTTTATAATTAAAAAATTACGTTAATTTTTACCCAATTTATTTTAATAGTGTAAATTTTCATTAAAGTGAGATTAACTTCTTTTCTTTTATTATAAAATATCATAAATAGCTTATTATAAAATAAGTTATTAAATATGATTTTTTGGTATTTATTTATAAATTTACCGATCTTTTCGGTGAAATCTAAATTACTGAAATTTTAAGAAAATATAATTAACTGTAATTTATGTAAATTTTTATATATTTTTTAAAATCAAAAAATAAAAATACAAAATCTGGTCTAAAATAGCTTTTAAATTTTAATAATACAATAATTATTTTTGATAATGATTTTTTATTTATTGAATATCTTATTAATCTACATACATTACTTGTAAATTTTATTATATAATTAAAAATGAAACTCTTAAGAATGATATTATTTTTTATTTGACTAAATTGAAGCTTAATTATTATTATTAAAATAGACTTGTACAAAACAAATTCCAACATAGATCAAGCATTTAAACATGTAAATATTTTTTCATCCATTGCATGCTATGCATAATTCTACACAATTTCCTCATATGATCACTTGTAATTTCAAAGTTAGTTTTCTGTACAAGTCATAGTTTATTTTTCAAAAACTAAACTTTGTAAATCTACAATAAAATAAAAGAAACGAAAGTATAATAGTCAAATTGTTCAAATTGTAAATAATCGTATATATATATATATATATATAAATATTCACATACTTACATGAATTTTAAAAGAATCGCATTTGTACAACTATTTACCATCAAAGCTTCAGTTGTCTTTTTTTTCTTTATCAACTAATCAAAATATATTGTAATATTACTTCTACTTCATTTGTATCAATGATCCATTTTTTATGTCATGTATATATATATATATATATATGTGTGTGTGTGTGTGTGTGTGTGTGTGTATTTTAATGAATAATATTTTTTTAAAAAAAATTAAAAATTAAAAATTACTAATTAAATTTGTTTTTTTAAGCTGATAATAGTTTAATTTCTTTTTCTTTTTCTTTTTGTGACGTATTTAAGTTTACAATGCTTTGGCAAAACCCCAAATCCATTTTCCATGAATAAATGATAAACTTATAGATTTTTATCTAAAGAATAATACTTAAAAGGCTATAAATTGTTCAAGGGCAAAATCTTTATTTAGATATCTAGATTATTATTGGAATATAGAAGCTATAAATTCTAATCAAAGTTACAAGGATGATTCATTTTGCATGGGAGATGTTATATTTGAAACTTTGTATCAACAAAAGGCTTGCTTTTTAATTTAAAAGTTTCTCAATTTTAACCAACTAAAAGATTTTAAAAGTTGCAACCTGTCATCTTTTCTCCTAAAAGACCCCTTTAAACTCATCACCTATAAATTTTCAAGTTAAAAAAATATACCTAAAAGAAATTTAAAACATCCAAATTATTCATTTAAATGAAAAAAGTCTACAAACATTTATTCTTTCTAACTACCAATTTGAAGATAATTTCTCTCTAACTGGTTAGTTTTTTGCCATGCATTAATACATGACACTTTTCACTAGAAAACTCATTCAAAAACCAAGACTTCTATGCTCTCCATTAAGCATGTTCTTATCATGAGCCTTGCAATAAGATAGCCAACCCATTTCTAGTAACTTAAGTATTCTAGCATATTTTCTATAAGTATATGAAAAAATAAAAGTATCCCTATGTAAAGAAATAGAAATCAAGAGAATTTCATGTGTTTTCACACAATTTTGTCCAAAAACAGAATTTATATTAATGTTTTAGTTGAAGATTCTCTTTGATCCAAACTCGACATATAAGCCAACCTCATTCTGACAAGTGGTTGGTTACAAAATCAAGAGTGCTTGCTTCAAGCTGAAATTTTTAAGTTGGCATGAAATTCTTAATTTTCTTACCCAATGGCACCATGGAGTTGAGGCACAATGTGAATTAAATAATGTGAAACCATACCGTGTCATAACTGATGAGTATTATTGTGTCAAGTTCATCGGAAATACACCACCCTGTAGGTTGGAAATGGGGGTGGTCAAGAATGGATTGGCTACCTTAATTTGACGTTAAATTGCACAAGATGAGCTATAGTTGAGTCTCATTTATGGACGGGTCACAAAAGCTACCAAGATATATGGTCAGGTCAGGCAAGCCCAATTAAAACCCATGCCTAATGACAAACACACACACTCTGCATTAATCTGGTCACATTCATTATTACGTTGTTTCTAGAGCCAGCTAAACGACGGCGAGTGTTCCATTGCACTGCCTGAAGCACTGGCTGGCGTATCTGCTCTTGGTGAAGACTGACAAATGTTTTATGATTCCACGTTAATTGAGGGTAAATACCCAACGAACACTTCCACATTGCAGCTGACTGCGTTTAGTTGCTTGCTAACAGTCACTTTATAGAAATCCTTCTTACAGTTATTTTTTTAAAGTTGCTTGATATTATAAAATGCATTTCGCTAAGTGACAAAGTGGTGTATGCTGCGACTTAACAAGGACGTTGCAACAGCGTACGAGTTGTAGAGTTGGGTGAGGTTGAGGATGGAGGAGCTAGAATAGGAACTTGAAGTGCTACCCAGAAAAATAATAAATGATGCATAGGTAGATCCATACAGTGAACAGATAGAAGCATATGACTGACTTTTGAGTAAAAGGTAGAGAACATGCCACGGTAAAAGTCCTGTTGATTTAAAGCAACTTAAAGGAAACAAGATAGAAAATGTAGTGCCCATTTAAAGTGCAAGAAGAGAGGGCGAAAGAGCAAACCTGTTTCAAGATTAGTGGACCCCTTCATACACAAGGATACCTCGAAGGGAGAATGTGAAAGCTTACGGCTAATGGGAAAACTTACCAGTATCACATGCAACTTCACCCATCTCGAACTGTGGTGAGCCCCAGAAAGCCCAAATATATGTGTAAGCTAGACAAAAACTAAGACAAGGGCCTCACACACATGCGAAGGTAACTCCACGAGTCATGTGTTGAACATCAAATCGTAATGTACCCACAGGGGCATCGAATTGCAAGTCTACAATAGTTGCTAAGTCACATGATCTTGTAACATGACAAGAAGACTGGGTCATGCTATCAATCACAATGAATGAAAAGGTGTCTTCAATCCTTTAAAGAGGCCAAAGTAATAGGGGATGTATCTACAAACTTACCTCTCGTCTTGTCCACTACATCTGTACCTTCGTTGCAAAAACAATGTACAATGTCCGCCAGGTATGCCATACTCGTGTGTATATAAACAAATAACCGAGTGCCTAGTCCAGATATAGGCCTGGCATGGTTTCCAAAACTCGCTCTTCAAAAACACCTTCCTACTGAAACACACTCAACGGAAGCCACCGCACCCACTTGGCAATCGATTTAATAATCTTTTGCAATTTGATAACTTTCATACGCCGAGGCTGTAACATGATGAGAAGAAACCTTGTCCATATACGCAGCCTTCAGTGCTTCGTAGCTTAGCTTTTGACCGTCTTGACCGATGTACGAAGCAACCAATGGAACTTTTTTAACAGATTCTTTTGTGGCTGAAATGTGCCTCATCTTGGGGCTTGATATCATAGGACCATATGGCAGGTTACCATTCTTCCTGTTGGGAGAGGAATACTTTGAATTGTACTCACTTTGAGGACTGACAAAATTGGGATACTTCACCTCTTCCCGCGGAGCAGGTGCAACCAGCGGATAATAACTCATGTGATTCATGCTCAATCTTCCGGCGAAGTATCCTGATGTAGAAGAGCTATGAGCATCAAAAATCATCTCCCCTTCAAGCATCCGCAAGACCTAGGAGTGCCAGACAACAACACCAGGTTTAAGTAAAAGATAACCTGGATTTTCTTGCCGCAAATCAGAAAAGCGTGGCAAATCCAGGCAACAAAATCCAGCAAACCAGAAAACTGCCTTCCTGATAACCAACTCCAATGAATTAGTTAAACCTCTAGTTAGCCGGACTGAATCCATGTGACAGCCACACAAACCTGTGCCATACGAGGTCGAACTGAGGGATCTTTGCGAATACAACATGATGATGCGTGCAACATACTTTCTACTTCGATGTCCGAGTACCGATTCTCAAGTCGTGGATCAATTGGAAGAGAGCCTCTCTCCCCCAGCAAGGGCCTTGCCTGTTAAAACAGAAGTAGGTAAGGCCTCGTTAATAACATGACAAGCTACATGCTTTTTCAATGACGAAGTATTAAGAACCCGGAGAAGATTTTCACCAATAAAGGAACTCTTGGAAGGATCAGCTAACTCTAACATACCCATTCTGTTAAACACTGTTCTCCTTTAGGTCGGTTTATGTCAATAGCTTTGCGGCCCGTAATAAGCTCCAGAAGCACAACACCGAAGGAATACACATCTGCCTTGTCTGTAATCTGCCCGTGTTGAGTGTATTCTGGAGCCAGGTATCTATAACACATTCCACAAAAAAGTTCAGGAATCGAAGAATTATGAGCAACATCGTACGTCTGACATGGGGTAGAAAGGAAGAGATTTAGAATATTATGCTACGTTAAATTAGATGATGGGCACATACCCGAAGGTGCCAATAACCCTGGTCTCCACACCACAATGTCCATCTGGTTGCCATCTTGCAAGTCCAAAATCTCCAACCTGATATCCAAAAAACACTTGTGCTGTCGGTAACCACATTAGGAATAGGCATGTGGCCATTCAGACAATAAACAGAAACATTTACCGTTCGAAACAGTGTGTGGAACGCCACATACCATAGGTTCAAAGTCGTGAGTAAGCAGAATATTGTTGGGACGCAAGTCTCTGTGCACTATGCATCCAACCCGACAATCCTCATGCAAATATCTCAATCCTCGAGCTGTTCCAACGGCTATTTTATGACGTGAGTTCCATTCCAAAACAGGTCTGTCACGTTCTGCACCACCAAAATTACACGCAAACGAAAATCATCAAATACATGGACATTCACAATCCTCGGAGCAAATCCAACATAAAATAGGTTTATAAATTCGAGAATATACATAGGTGAATGACTCACCATACAGATGCCCATCTAGTGATCCATTACAAATGAACTCATACACGAGCAGGCGCCTCTTTCCCTCAATGCAGTAACCAATGAGCATCACCACATTACGGTGCTGAGCATAGCTTAGCACTTCAACCTCTGCACAGAACTCCTTGTCACCCTGAGTACTGGCCAGCTTATACTGCTTCACTGCTATACCTTGTCCATCGGGAAGAGTACCCCTATGAACTGATCCGTAACCGCCCTCAGCAAGAAAATTTGTTCGAGAGAATCCGTTCGTGGCCACCTCGAGCTCCTTGTAGGTATACCTCTGAGGAGGTTTTCCAAACATGGGTGCTTTGTGTTGACACATGGAACACAAAGGCGGAGGTCCTGGGAGGTTATGTTTGTTTAACATCATCGCCATCTTCTGCCTCATCAATGCGTCAGCTTTTCCACGCTTTAATCTACTCTCCGGAGTAGTATCACAAGGTTCTTGGTCCCCATGGTAGCCAGAAGGCGATCCTCCATCAAAGGCAGTACACTCTTGATCTGCATTCTCCTGCAAAATAGCTCGAAGGCTCTGACCAAGTGTATTTTCTCTCTTTACACTTGAACCTCGACCCTCGAAGGATTCGCGCTTGGCAGGATTTCCCGACTTAGCAGGAGACCCCGCCATAGGTGTTTTCACAGGCGACCCTTTCCGAGAGTTTGCTCTGGAACCGTTTCTAAAACCGTGCCTGGACCCCGGTTTTGTAAGAGAAATGCCGTCCCTCAGCTGTACATCACTTTGGCTACCTGTTTAAACCATTAGAATTGTAGGTTAACGGGGCTTTTCGAAGAGTGGCACAAGACCAGTGTAGAGTAGAAAAGAGCCCATGTGATAACTGTCAAAAGCCAGCGAGTACGGAACTCTTAAACTGAACACTTTAAAAACCCACTCACAAACATTACACACCTGAAGATGGTTTGGAATAATCGGATGAAGCTCTTGTGTTGCCTTGGTCAAAGTTCCGTAATATGCTTTTCGGTGAAGACTCCATGCTCAACATACCCGAGACAATCATTCCATCACCGATATCAGGATAAAATGCTCTGAAAGAAGCACCTTTCTCCAGGACTCCTGGGGAAGTGGCCTCCAAGATACTTCCACGGAGTACAAGCTCTGTAGAGGAGCGGTTGTTTGAAAGAGGACCAGAAACTTGGCTGGGTGAGGTGTCCGAACTTAATTTCGACGATGTACCAAGGTCAGAAGGGGTGAAGGGTGTCATAACATCATCAGGACTACTTGAGGGTGTGCTCGATTTCAGTCGCGGATGAGGCCCATTTCTAGCAATAGAAGGGCCAGAAGGCAAGTGATCTTGAACGTTTGGAGAATCAACTACCCTTAAAACTTCTTGTACAGTTGGTGCTGAATGTTGCGCAGACTGCAAATTTGGAGTTTCAAGGATTCGTGAATTTCGTTTCAGGTTCAATCTCAATATCTTGGGCTCCGAGGGCTTCACGATAACGATATTACACTGCAGAAGTTCCATGCACATCTTCGCTTCTTTCTTCAAGTGCCTGCATTGTCAACATATACTCGGCTTTAGCTGAAGTTCTCAGTTGCTACTTCGGGTTTTTGACATAGTCGCAAAGGCTGTAGAAAATGCGCGACGACAAGAAACTGTTCCACTAGGAATGGTTAACCCTCCAAGAATGTGGAAGGCAGACCAAAAACAGGAGTATGACTTCGCAGGTGAGTCTGTGGAAGGACAGCTTACTTATCAAGAACAACCCAAGTGGCACCTATTCTCTTCGCCTCTGCAGCTGAAGCCTCTCGACCATCAACCTCCTGAACCTTCACGTCGATGGCAATCTGCAGAACCCCACGAGTGTAACTATTGAAAAAACTACCTTCATGTTCTCCAAACACAAGGCATGTACTCTCTAACACGACCGGTTCATTCCCAATTTGGACTCAAAAACTCAAAAACCATGATCATACAACAACTCCGTGCGGCAGAGTAGTCGGACGTATTAGTATCAAACACAGGCATCGTGCAAACCTTTTTTTGATTGCACACTGCCTGAAAATGCTGGATCATGGCAGTACATCCCTCGACTATTTCATCATCCACCTCTTTTGTTCCTCTCGAATTATCAATCACACCGCGTAGAACCCGATGTGATGCACATTCACCTCCTAAAATCTGCAGCGACATGGGAAACCCCCATATTCTTCGCACAGGGCCTGCAAATGGAACCACCTGTCTCTGAGCTACTTGACTTACCACACGCAGACAACATGACAACGGGCAAAGACGTATTGCCCAAAAAAGGCTACAACCCAAAGTGTGTGACCTTCTACACAAGAGCCCACACCAGATCAAGCCCCCAGTACCATCGGCAGTTAAAAGAAGTTGAACCGCGCACAAGGAAGTAATGTTAGTATGACCATTGCCTGAACGAGATAAACAAGTCGCAGGTACGATCATACTTCAAATCATAGAGGCCTGGTCAAAATTCATGGCCTTAACAGCTAGAAGATGCAAGCTGACCTTGCTGTAGATTCCTAATTTTCGTAGTAATGAATCACCGGAGAATCTCAGCTCCGACAAAACTATTTTTCAAACATCAAAGGCTATCTCGATCTACACATTTCAAAACCCAGCAACGAGCTAAACAGGGAATAGCTACATGATTGACATTTTTCCCAGCTTTAATTGGGAGGAAAATATCGTAGTGGCAGTAGTAATGGTAGTAATAATGATAGCAACAGTAATAATAATATAAACCGAGTAATATCTTCGTGAGAACTTCATCTGACCCAATCGGACTCGTAACGCAATGAAAAAATACAGAGAAGACTTTGGTAAACTAGGAATGTGACAAGTTTCAAGATCTGGCTGCACGAAATTCGGTTCCTTGGTTACGAATTGTATCTTCTATAGTGGAGCACTTACCGGAACTGCCCGGTGCATGAAGGGCGAGGAGGGTGATTGATTCTCCGGGCCTTACAAGTACATTGCTGAGAGCCCACTCCAGTGCATACTTGGTGATTTGTTTGGATCCGTCCAAGACGACAAGCACCTTCTCGCAAACAAGAGTTTCACTCGGAGGCCTGAAATAGGGCTGGGGCGAGGGCCAATCAGAAATGGAAACTGGAGCAGTCATTGTGCAATACCTGCCTTCGTTTACAACAACAGAAACTCTGCAGCATCTTTGTGTCTTTTATCTGTTCTGGTCTCTGGGGGTTCTACAGTTCGGCCTCAAGCGCTGGTCTGTGAGTGCCGTTCATATATTTACAAAACAGCACCTGCTACCTCAGAAGTCCCTTGCGATCTCAGGGGACCTGAATGTACATCCAATCGCATTCAATGCTCCCATCCTATCTTCAGCGAAAAACCAAAAAACACAAGAACCAAAAAACAAAAAAAAAAACAAAACAAAACAAATCCTCTATACAAATGAATCTCCAGAAGTACAAAACATTCACACCTCCGAATCTACAACAACCTCAAAGGCAACCTGCACGCAGATCGGGATATAGAACCAATACAGAGGACGAATCCCGCAACGCACAGTAACACCCACGTCCTCGAATCATAAACCCACAAAACAATTCCCACACAAAAATAATAACAACAATCCCAAGAGTAACCTCAGGACCCAATTTCTCACAATCCCAATCTCCCAACTCATCGCTCCCCCTCTCGTTTCGCTACTCAATGAAACCAACTCCCCAGCTACAGCAAAGCCACCACACACCGGAAACCTCCCACCAGCGACCTCAGCACACCACGATCTACCGCACAAGTCTCCACTGAACCTCCCGAGAAACAAACTGTTTCACGACAGCAGTCTTTACAACACTGTCGGGGCAGTCTTTGACTCACTCACTCACTCACTCACTCTCTCACTCACTCACTGCGGTGTGCGAGCAAGCAAGCGAGCAAGCTACTCTACGGTGGTGCTGCTGCTATACACACGAAGCTGCATAGCACATAATAAGAAAGTCTATTTGTATGTTTGTTTGTATGTTAGTGTGGGTGTAGCAGCACACACTACGATTGTGAAGCCTCTCCAGACTAATTCCTCCCCCTCTTTCCTCCTCTTCCTCCACTCTCTCTGGCTTCTTCTTCTTCTGCTTCTTCTGCTTGCCGCATACAACCACGACTTCGTCTCGCAACGGGCCCCCGTAACCAGCATTCAGTGCCTCCAGAAACCGACGAACGAATGCCGACGAAGTAATAAATGAACGAACGCATGAACGAAAGAAATTCGGAATCAACGAACGAATAAACATGGGAACGGACGGAATGTGAGGGGAACGGACGGACGGGGTGGGGGACGGAACATGGCAATGATTGGGGCTCAAAGCAGTGAAAGCTGGGATGTGAATTAATTTTTATTTTGTTTATTTATTTTTTAGTTTATTTTTCCTATTATTGTCTTTTCTCCCTTGTAGTGGAACACACTTTCAGGCATTTTCTAATGCATATCTCCGGTACCCTTTTAGAATTCTTTTCTTTTTCTTTTTCTTTTTTCTTTTGAAGGTGGTAATTAATTGCTAATCTGGATTGAGAATTAATTGTTGGTGTCCGTCATGTTTTTATAAAAATGGATATGCTGTGAATGTGGTTGAACTTGGCCTCTACATTAAGTCATGTATGTTGTCTTCATAGTGTGTGTAATAATGCTCACAAGTTTAAAAGGAGTAAGTATTTTACTGTAGTAGTGTAATGCTTTTGTTTTTGGGGCCCTTGCTTGTTTTGTTTCTATCTTTTTTTTTCTACTTTCCTTCTGTTGTTTGTTTTTGTTTTTTTTTTATTTTTACTTTTTACTTTTTTGTTACTTATCATTAATGTTGGTTTAGTGTTTTGTGTGGATATTTAATTTTGGTGATGTGGGTCTGATAGACAAGACTGGAGGGGTCAAGGGGAAGCATAAGACTTTGTACAAAGATGCAGTCTATTTCAAAGTATGACATGTGGGGAATTCATGGCTTGTTCTCACTCATTAATACCCTTGTTCACACTCTTGTCTCTGTTTTTCTTTTTCTGTTGGGTGTGTTGGTGATGGTGAAATTCAATGGAATCCACAATCATTCACTGAAAAGTGCTTTTTAAAAGGAGAAACAAACAAAGACAAATACATTCTTTGTTGAGCTTGCAAAGGCTCTTCAACATTCTTCTACTTGTTTTGAAATGATGTAGTCCAATTGTGGTCTTATAACTATATCCAAGTCAACAAAAATGAACCATTTGTATTAAAGACAATACAAATGAACCTCAACAATGCTATGATCAAACAACATATCCATGTTTAAAACAATCCATCCATATATATACACACACACACATAACAAAAAAAAGATGCAATCTGTAGGTTTGGTTTCAACTCAAACAAATAAACAACTAAAATATTTGAAAACTCATCTACAAATTTAAAATTAAAGAAATAAAAACAAACCATTGTAGAAAAGCACTTTAAACACAAACAACCATGTCTTTATAGATTAACCTCTTCTTATTTTTATTTGATTTGTTCTATATTTTTAAACATTTACAGTTAGAATAGTAATAAAGTATTTTAACATATAAGTCACAATCCTTGCAAAAAGCTTGAGTGGATAGGTAGAGGGGGAGGGATGGGAGGGAGGTGCACGCAATCCAAAGCCCGAGCAAAAGAAGATCAACATTCTTGCTCTCATGTGAGGTGGGGGTCTTTTGTCATACAAACAAAAGAAACCGTGGTTCTTTTGTTCCCATAAACCAAGGGAACCGTACCTCATGTATTATTGTGAATATAAAGAGATGGACGGCTCATGGTAGTACAGAGTTTTAATAGCCATGGGGACGGTTCACCATCCACACGAACAAGGCCACATCATGTGAGGTATTCCACCGCCACTATAGGAAGGACCTCCTCGCTCTCTCTCTCACTCCTTTGCTTGCGATCCCTTTTGCGCTTAGGTCCCATCATGGGTTCTCTTGAGCTTATCTTGTGAGATTGTGATTCACCATGCACTATGTATGTGTGTGTATATATATATATATATATATGTATGTATGTGTGTGTGTGTGTGTGTGTGTGAGTATTTGTATGTATATATGTATTAGGGATCTTTATGCAAAGGAGAGAATAAAGTCACAACTATTGAACAATTTGGTTGGTAATACTTGAGAGGTTTGCAGATTTTGAGCCAATTGAAAATTTTAAGGTTGAGGCTTTCACCTTCTTCCCTGAGTAGAAAGACCCCTAAATCAATAGATAATATTAGTTGTTGCATGTGATTGTTATGGATGACTTCACATGATTATACCAAAATTGGTTATAAGAATATGGTCTAACCATGAGCCAAAAAGTTCTTGAATTTATTTAATTCATGTGTTTGCATTTCTGAGGTTATATTTGTATATGTATAGATTTTTTGAAATTTTATTGTATTGTATTTTATTTTATTTTACTCTGAAATGTTTAATCAGTTCTAAAACAATTAAATTTTCTCTTTGGAAGTTGAAAGTTGGATGTAAAACATTCAGTGTATTCATGCAAATTTGATATTTTCATTAAAAAGAAAAAAAAAAAAAAAAAAAAAAAAAACTTGCCTTTAATTTTAGCTTGCAATATAATCACCAACCTTGGACACTTTACAAATTAATTAAGCACATGTTGCTCCATACTGAAAGAGTATTCTTTGAAAATAAAATATACAATAAAAAAAACTGTCATGACATAATTTTGTGTATTTCAAGTTGATTATATGAGGTATAAATTTAAATAAATTATTTTCTCCCTTAGTAAAGAATACATATACACACTCATTCACAAAGAAATTTAAATAACGTGTATTATACTTTTTTTCAAATTGTTTTATTCTGTTATATAAAAACTTGTGACCATTTCATTGATCCTCTTTGGTTACTTTTACATATGTTATAGTTGTTTATTTTATATTTTAAGACTTTATTTTATTTAAAAACTCAAAATTATTTCTTTTCATTGTTATTTAAAAAAATATATAACTGTATTTAAAATACTTATGATCTAGTTGACATTCTAATTTTTAAAACCTTAATCCTTTTAATTCATATTTTAAGAATTTAAAATATTGAAGAAAGACCAGCTTTGCTATAATTTTAATTTGATATTGACATATAAATAAGTAAATAAATAAAATAAATAAGTACAAACATATTGTTCTAAATATTTTTTGAAGCATATTAAATTAAATTGTATATATATATATATATATATAATAACACAATATTAAAATTTTCAAATTATGCAAAAATCGTCTATTACTTATTTAACTAAAAATATTACTTCTAAGAATTTATTTATTTATTTTATTAATATCATAAAAATTACATATATATATATATATATAGAGAGAGAGAGAGAGAGAGAAAGAGACTTAAAGTACCATTGATATATACTACATGTTAACTTGTTAATAGCTTTAAAATTTATAAGTATTTCTTCAAACTTTGAGATTAAATTAGATTTGGTTACTTCAACGAAAGTATTTATTAAGAATCTTCATAATGATAAATTTAGTTTTATGGTTTATGTTTACTAATAAATAAATAAATAAAATATTTTTAGACTTAAAGTCTTATTTTCAACTAAAAATTAGCATAAAAAATATCCATGTATAGTTGAACTTTTTTGAAGTTCTAAAAATATTTATGAAGTATGTATAAATTAGTTAAATATGTAGAAATAAATACTATGTGGAATGCCAAAAGCACTTGCAATTTTTGAAGTTTGGCTTCTCCCCCCCCCTTTTTTTTTATTATATAATGAAATATGTTGTAAACAAAATGTCAAAGGATTTCTACAAAGCTAATCAAACTTAGACAATAATTAAAAACGAAAAGACTGAGGAGTTGCACTAACAATTACTATTAAGAGCTATAAAATCAAATTTCTTAAGTTTATTCTTCACTTACTTGATTTAGGAATACTGATATTTTATCAAAATTTTGAATAAAACTATATTGATTTTGTTGGCAATTAATATTATTAATTATATGAAGAACATATAATAATTTTTCATAAATATAAATATTAATGTTTGATACATTAGTATTTTTATTTATAGATTTACAATTCTATTATCTTAATATGATATAATCGACTTTCAAATTATAAGATTTTTTTTTTTTTTTTTTTTTTTTTTTCCCCTCACTCTCTCTCTCTCTAAAAATAAAATAAAATAAACATTCAGGAAAAAAATTTAGTAATTAAATCTATACCTCAAATAAAGTACCGAATTAGAATTATTTCTATAAAACATTGTTATTGTTACCATTATTTTCTAACTTGTTCATGCACCAACTTGTGATGTCACAGCTGTCGAATGAATAGTTTAACTAATGTATTTTAATCACTACAGATTTCCGAATCTCTTTTCAAGGGTACACCACACTAGAATAAAATAGAGGTAAAATTAAAACAAAACGACGGAGGGAAAAAAATAGACATAACTGAGGCCAATCCAAGCACCCATCTCAGATGAGTAGGATATTCTACTACAAGGAACTGTACAATTCCTTGAACTGTGTAGCATCTTTCTCCAGCACTCATTGGTTTGTTAAGAAGTTAATAAAACTAAAAGATGGGAATGAACTTATACTGACAGGATGAGAAGGGTCATTTCAACCAGGTTGCAAACAAAGGATCTACAGAGCCATGGACATGTCATGTTGTAGAAATTAGTCAATACAACTGGCGGGCATATCATTCTAAAACCCAAATGATCATGATCCTCTGTCTATGTACTACTAAAGATAACTAAGAATAGGAATAATAGGGATAATAGGAGAGGGTCAGATCATTTCTTCTACCTTGAACCTTCATTGACCTCAAATGTAGGGTTATCAATCAAATGATGGCTGAGCTTTCGAGCTTCGGCAATGGATCACACAATGCCAAGCCAAAGACCATTCTGAGAGGGTGAGAGAGAGAGAGAGAGAGAAAGGAAGGGAACGAGGGAGGGGGAGAGAGCTTGGAAAGCCAGCCAAAAGTTAAACTGTCCAGTATATGATGCTTTCAAAACAGGAAGGGGTTTTTAGTCATTTGACAGCATGGAGTCAAATATGGTTGTCGTCTCTAAGTCCTTCTTTTTAAAAAAAAGACCGTTATGATCACCGAAGTGGAGCCCACTTTGCTTCACCTAGCTGTGGTTTCAACTCATGGGTGTGTGACAAGGTTGTAGCTTTCCATTCACTGTAGAAATCAGGAATGGTGTTGCCGTTTGAATTTTCATGACACGAGATCGCAAAGAACAAGAAGCAATCTTTTGTTGGTATCCGTGCTTTAGTGCAGAACAGTTCCGTTGCATACCTGTGAATGAACAAAGGTCCATTTTGATGCATGTTAAGGTTTCAGGACCAAAATTCTTCGAATCTTCAAAAAACTGTTTCCAACAGAAAAAAAATATCGTGCAATGCGGGCATTCTAAGTTCGAGTATGCCTGTGATCCAAAACTTGACGTTCCGCAAACAACAGCGGCAAGTCAATTCTATTTAAGAATGATGGTTTCAGTAATATAGAGGAACAACGCCCTTGCTGGCAGCCTCAAAAACTGGATTTTAACTCCAGACACTCTACGGTTCTTCCTAGTACACATACAACTATACATCGGTAGCATTAAACATGCTCACAGAAGCCGTCAGCAACCCAAGTCAAGACCATTGTTGTCGAGAAGCTCACTCGAGCGTCATACAAAAGGGTGCGCACTGGCTCTCGCAGTAATTGACCTTAGCTACACTGGTTCGCGCCCCTCACAAGATCAAGCACTTAATCTTAGGTGACATAATCTTAACGTGATCTAGAAGGGCGCAGTAATTGGAAAAGAAAAGAAAAGAAAAGAATAAATAAATAAAAAATGGTCTCTGATAGGATGCCAAAATACAACCCAAATCTAGTCGTCAAACAAGTCATCGTAGCTGATTTGAGGCACTTCAACTCTGGGTTTTTCCCCGTGAAGATGCTCCCACTTAGCAAGATTGCCATCCCAAGAGCTGCTCACTAGCATCGGTTCTGTGGGATGCCAGCTGCAGTCACGTACTGTGCCTCGGTGATAACTCAATCTTGACACTTGCTTTCCAGTTGCCTGATCATTAGCGAGTCATAAGTCGTCAAGAGGGGAAACAAATCGCGAAAATGAGAGTTGAAACCGTCAAAAACTACCTTCATCGACCCAAACCTCCGGGATTATCTACGAGGTCTAAATTTGATAATAACATAAAGAGGAGAGAGATGGACATTAGAAACTAAAAATTACCAGTTCATAAATGTAAACACAGCCATCGTGTGAACCTGTGTAGATATACTTTTGCCCAGTGCTGCACCCATGCCATCAAAAAAAGTAAGAGTCAGTTGGGACGAAAACTTCTTAATCGTTACAATCTTAGCGATGCTTTGCGATCCCGTTTAATTGCAAAAGACTTCTTGATAAGATTGAGAAGGAGCAACCACAGGAGCAATCATCTACCACATGCCCAAAGAGATGGTGAGAGGAACTGACCAAAACAAACAAGTCTGCAAAATTATGGTGCTTTACACAATCATTTTTCAGCTTAGCACTGCCAAAATTCCCTACATTGAAGAAAAATCAGAACAAGCCATTGAGATCTCAACATTTCTTCAACGAACCTGGCCAAAGGAGAGAAGTAGCAGCGAATAAGAGTGCGCAGCACCAAATGCCCCTTGTAAGTCATCAGGGACTGATCATATGGATGGCGCACATCACGACCCATGCCAGGGTAATCCATCCATCGGTAATCCCATGCAAAAGAAGGGATCTTTCTACCTTTCCTGAGGCACAACATCCATTCATCGTTATCAGTGCTTCCAAATTTCAACGTGGGCACTAGCAACAGAGTAGTAAAGTTTTGTTGAAAATTTCTGCAATGGTTAGCACTATTTTCTTTGATGAAAGCACTAAATTAGAACCAAATTGTTGCTTCATTTAAACTGAACCTATAATGTTCTCTGGACGAAGGCTTTAATTTCACCTAAAGGCTCGTCTTTTAAAAAAATAAACAAGAGACTAACTTGCAAGATGCAGGGCCCGATGTCATCTTTCTAATATCCCATAGCTTGATGGTCTGATCCTTGCCGTTGGAGATAAAACAGCGACCATCTTTTCTGCTGTCTATGAATGTGATCCCCTCTAAATGCCCGACGAGCTGTCCAGCGGGTCTCCCCCTTTGAGCAAAGCAACGGCGATCCCATACCTAAGCAATCAGGAAAAAGCACGTTCAGGAGCACAAAATAACTCACTTCGCACGAAGAACCTAGCAATACCACTCGATGATATTGGTAAGATATAAATTTCACATGTTGAAATCAATTTTTACAAGATACCTTGCAGATATTGTCGTCACTTCCAGAGTAGATCAGATGACATGGCTCGTCGGCAAAGACCACAGCGTTAACATCATCCTGTAACCACAACACCCACGATATACGACTACAACCGTCAGAATATCTGATCAGCATTCATAAAAAGCATTCAGCAGTCCAAACCCCAACGACCAAAACAAAAAGCATGTCAAGGCGAACTAACAAAGCCAAGATACAGCACGAAACTTAGTCTCCAATATGACCGGCAACTATATCAGAGTTGAACTGAGACCAGACCTTATGAGCATTGATCCGTAAAACTGGTTTGTTGGCCTCCAAATCATAGACATAAATGCACTTGTCGTTGCTGCCAGCCACAAGCTCACGACCATCCTCAGAAAACTGAAGTGACCACAGTCCAAATACATCCCCTTGAGCATCTGACGCAAAATTCAGGCCTTCGTGAATATCCTGCATCCCTCAACTAAGCTACAGATTAGAATAAAACATGAACATAAACATTCCTTGATGTAAAATATAAGCAGATGTAAAAAAGGATTCTAGTTTCTGCTGGCATCATATCAGTGGGCACTCTCTGTCAATTCACAAAGTGGAGAACACACCGTCCACACTAACGCGCAAGCCCCCAGAGAAAATTGAGACATGTATTAACTCCCGCTTTCACAACTGGTTTCCATCGGAAAGTCTTACCGTGACATTTGCGAGAGATGAAACACCACCACTCTCGCTACCGACATTAACCAAGTGCACCACTGGTGTTATAGTTGCATAGACCTGCAATCAGACAGCAGACAGCTCTGTTCAAGGGCACATCCTTGAACTTTCAAAGCACTGCCACCACCCGAAGAGTCATTTGCGCACAGTAAGACATATCATCTGAACATAGGTGATCCAAAGTGAAAGGAAACGAAACAAACTTCAATTGAATATGATTCAAAAGAAAAAAGGTATCCAACCTCAAGTATGCACTTTCCAAGCATGCTATAAGAATTGAAGATCTACGAACTCAACGAACTCAATGATCAATCCCTTCTTCACAGTTACTAATAAAGTAAAACAAACAAACACACACACACACACACATATATATATAGAGAGAGAGAGAATGAGAGAGAGAGAGAGTGAGAGAGAGAGAGATGCTGTTGTAAATATAAAGCTACTTACGAGGAATCGCTGATCTGGTGACAAAGCCGTATCTGTAATAGTCCAGCGAAGATTGCGAGCTTGAATGTCCTTCTGAATTGCCCAATCGTTCTCGACGTTGTAGATTATTATTCGTCGGTCCTGTTTGCCAGAGAATTTACAAAAATCATACATGACACCACATAGTTCATAGATTGTTTGTGCTGAAAATTAAGATTGAACGTAGAATATGTTTCATTCTCACAGGAGAATCAAAAACTAAATGTTCATGAATCTTGCGTTCCAAGGATTATTAATTAATTAAAAAAAATGTTAAATAATATGTAACTCTTGGCAGCATACCTTATTCTGATTGCACTAACTTCACAATTTGACTTAATTTTTTTAACAAATCCCAAATGACGTAATCAAACAAAGTGACCAATTAACACGTTGAATTCTTCTTCGACAATTATGCGTTCACTTGTACAAATCGCAAATAACAGAGAATTATGCGTTTCTTATCCAAAAAGCACAGCAAATTTCACCACTCCGGAGTATCACCTGGAAGCCTGCCACAAATGATGTCCCATTTGCTGAAAATTGTCCAATATAAGCTCGACTGTTCAAATGATCGACGACGGTCGGACCATCGGTCGGAAGGTATCGTGCAGCCATGTGACAACACTCGGCCCTTGAAAATCTCCCATTACCAGAGACATTGAATTCCCTGCCGAACAGCATAGTCGCTGCATTTACCATGGCCCCACGCTTAACCCTCCCCAACCTTGCGGATCTTTCACTAGAACAATGTTGCATTAATGTAGACTGAGCTAAAACATGGTTCAATGGAGGAGTTTCACAACCATCGCTTCCACCAGACACCACCCTGGTTTCTCTGGGCCTCTCATTGTAACTTACTTCTGCAGCATACAGCTCCGACTCCTCATCCTGATACTCACCTTCATCATCGACTTCTCCCGTACATGCTTCATCACTATCACTGCTAACTATTCCAGGGCGAGATGAAAGAGCGTCCCTTCTGGTACCCTCTCTGTCGTTATTGCCAGTCACTTGGTAATTCAACCTTGAGATAAATCGAGTGGCACGAGCCATAAGTCCAACACCGGTAGCACGCTCTCCACGGCCTGCCATATAGGAAATGTGCCAACGAAGGTCCTCAAGATCCAGTCTCACCACTACTTGTCCTGATGCAGTGACGAAAACCAAATAAACAGCGTTAATAGAAATTGTGAACAAGGTAAGGAAGAAGAAGGGACAGTGATCATGACGATGCACAGAATCCGTGTTTAATATTCAAAACCAGTTCTTATAAACTGGGAAACAAGCTGTTGAGAGGCGAGGCCTTAAGGAAAATATGACCAATCCACATTTTTTTTCCAAAGCGGAGGTACACAGGTAGGATATGTTAACCAATCTAACACGACTACCGCTCGATATACAGCAGTGGCATGGCAACATTCCACATTGAAAAACAAAAATGGAGAAGCACATTGAAAATTGTCATTATCCTACTTTCCATCGCAAGTTTGATTAAAGATTATTAAATATCGTCAGCTTCACATTACTTGCACTGTCAGCGCCTTCAGGCTCGAACCTCACCTCGACTGGATCTTATGGTTCCCTGAGAATGAACATATCTAAGATCCCGATGAGAATGGCAGGATCCAGAGTATAGCCTGAAAAGGGTTGATTCATCTTACCATAAGAATCAGCGGCGCAAACATCATCTGCCAAATTAAACCTCTACGTCGTGGTTAGCGGATAATGGTATATGAGAGCATGAAAGGTTCAATTTTTAGTTGCCCGTCGATGTGTAGAGAACCCTCGGAATCGTAACGTCCGAATTGCCCATTCTCAGTTCACAAACAAAATGAAGCTTCAACTCCACAATAACAAACAAGACAGACATCTGATTGCTCACGGCTCAATCGCTAATTCCAACCAAAAATAAGTGTTGCTCCTAATCGTGATTTGTATGCACATTCTTTCCACCCAACCAGACGTGCTCAAATATTTGCATCGCCATTGGGAACTATCCCCAACAAAATTCCACTAAACAACAACCAGAAGATTACAAGTGGCTATTCTTCAAACCCCAAGAAGAAAATTAAGAAGACACGGACAATCCATTTGCTTTAATTTGAAGGGTCCATCAAAAATTTTAGAAGTAACAAACAGAAAGCCACATGTTCTAAGATGTAAGCGTCGTCCAAATCATGAATCTCAGAATACTGATATCTAATTTGACGAATATCGCATTCGGAATCCCAGGACAATATATATAATCAACTCAAGTGACAAAGTTCGTTAACACTGCCTCTCTCACGGGAAGCAAGATCCAATTGACTTTCTCCATGCTGGGTTTCCATCACGCAGTATTGCACAGCATCCAGAGTACGACTAAATAAGATCGAGACTACTAAAACCTTTCACATGTCCAATTGTTTCATTCACTTAAGTCGAACCAAGTAAACTGTGTCCTGCCGAAACATCTGCAAGACACACGGAATGATGCGACAAGACACACAGAAGACATGAAGGCACGGCCCCCGGACATGGTTTTCCACGGGCGAGAAATTAGCGGTCACCCAACAACGCCCAAAGGCGATACATCCTAAACCAGAATACGCTCACCGTACCCGAAAAAAGAAAAATAATTCGCCCTCGTCTTCGCTCAATCAATTTGGTCTCCCCTATACGCTCCTCGCGGCAGCTCAAATGCGGCCCCAATGCTCAGTCAAGCCCACCGACAGGCGTGCCAAACGCGCACCCCCATCCAAATCCCCACCGCCAGCTGCTCACATACCGTCACTGCATCCGCAACTGAGACACCACTCGGACACAGAATCTGCAACATCCATCTGCGCAACGTCAGCCAATAAAATTTACGGGCAGCGCGTTCACGTGGGGGTCATGGTGAGAGCCACGATTCCAGTAGCCTATCATACCACCAGATCGCGACGGATCCCCGACGGATCCCCGACCCGCACAGCTCGTTGCGCAGCCGAGATGGCTAATAAACCAATTCCCGACACTGAGTAGCAGCAGCATGTGCGGCAATTCCAAGAGTGAGTCACCGCAGCAGTAGTGCAGCCTCGGATTGAACAGACACCAGCAGCACCACCAGCAGCACCATGACCACGGGGCAAATTCGCATGCACCTAAAGGGTTGCTTCCACGAAGACTCGGCGACGATTCCACTCAACGTCAGAAAGGAAGAAAAGAGCTAGCCCCACCCTCTACGATACATCTACGCTTAGCCTGGACCTCCCCCCCCCCCCCCCCCCGTGCTGAAAAATCTAGCATTGCCATCCCATCCCCCCCTGGGCTGCGCTGCTACAGTCCTCCTCGCTTACCCGGCCCCGGTATCCTCGTCGGCCGGGATTATCGTTGCGTGGAGGTTCCAAAGATTCGGTCGGCAACCCCTCCCTCCCTTCTCTGTGCGTCGTCTTCTCAAGGCGAGGAGGCAATGCAGCGCTCTAACTCTCTCACTCTCTCTCTCTTCCATCTATCGCCCGCATTTATTCGTGGCGATTGCTCTTCTTCTTCGCATCCGAGCACATCACCAGCAGCATGCAGAGAACCAAACACACAAAGTCCCCGCTAAAACAACCCCCCGCCTCTTCCATCTTTCCAGCTCAGCTCTCGTATTTCTTTTTCTTTATATCTATCTATGTCTGTCTTTATCTTTCTCGTGAGGAGGAGGAGATGCGACGTCGACCCCCCAATGAGTGAGTAAGGTTCCGAGAAAGGGGGGAGGAAATTTCGTGCGTTCCCTGGAATCCATGGCCCTTCGTTCCCGTCTCCTCCTCCTCCTGAACTTGCTTTGCAATGAATAGGCCCCGTTTGAAACCCCCCACCCTCTCTAGAAAATCATGCTCTTCGGTGGGTAGTCCCATTCATGATGGACTTTCCTGACCATATATTTATATTTATTTATTTATTCATATGGAAAAAAATATTTTCTTATTTATTTATTTATGTTGTATTTTTCCTTTCTATCCATTCCACATTATTGGATGAGTAGGGAGAGGCAAACGTGCATATATATATATATATATATATATATACTTATATATACATGCACACACCAAAATATTGTATGCTAGCAGAAATGTGTGTTGTTGGGCACAAAAATGCTGTTTACATAAACTAATCTACATGTCTATCTATAGGCTATGCAGAGAATTATGTTGATTAAATGATTTCTTTGATTTTGACCAATGAGAAGGCTTCTTAGTCTCTTTGTCTTGATATCTAAGCTTCCTTATTATACAAATATACCAATATGTGCCTCTCACTTTCCATGTGTACCAGAATATTTGATTTTATTTGTGTGATGTAATAATGGATGAAAATAATAAATCAATCAGTTGTACATGTGTTGTGGAACTGTTTAGCTTCACTCATAATGTGTGACTAATGCCAACCTTGGCAAACAGTGCTCAATTTGCATTTGGTTAACTGTAGCTAGAAACTTTTGTGTTGTTTTTGTTTCAATCATTTGTTATGATCTACTACCAGCCATTCAAAAAAGGTTCTCATGGGTTTTGAAGAGATGATTCCATTATAAATATATTTATTCTTCAATCAGATTGAAATTCTCTTATGAATATAAGGCAATTCAAAATCTCAATTGTCTTGATTTGAATGGCTATTATTGACCAACGTTTTTGCACAATACTTTCCTAAGAAAAAGTTCCTCAAAGATTGCATTTGTGAGAGCTAGTATAATATTCAAATTCTCATTCTATATGATTTTAAAATTGTTTTAAGGGGATAATCCACGTTTACAGTTTTTTAAATTAAAAAACAAGACAGAGTGTTTTAAAAACTAAAAATTGACACGTGGAAATCAAAATCTTCTTATCAAAGTTAACTGTATTGATGATAGAAAACTAAGAGGATTATTCCAATATGGTGCTTGCTATTCAAAACAATAACACAACCATATATATATATATATATATATATATACATATCAATCAATCAATCAATCAAGAGAGAAAAAAGAAAAAACGTATTTGTAGACTGAGAAGAATACATGGTTCTTTACTGAAAAAGTCACCAAAAAGTTTAACGGTAAGAAGAACATACTAAACATGGACATGTTACTCTTTTGTTTCAAAATAAATACTTTGATGATCCTTTGTGCATTAGTTTGGTATTTCCTCAAGATGCCATCGAAAGATGAAAAGTGAAATGCACTTTGAATGTTTTCGATGTCATTTCAAATCTTTGGAACGCAACGTGCTTTTTTCCATACATCGACTATAAAAAATATAAAATAGCGCTGACATGGCAACCAAATTGTAACCTGTTTTATGAGAACAAATTCGAGTAAATAGTTTTATATACTCATAAAATGCTCCACCGTTGGATGCAGATCGCGATCATTCATCCATTCGCACATCTAGTCGTTGGTTAGTTCGTTGTCCTGTCGAAGAAGTTACTATTCGCACAATCGGAAGAGGTTTCAGGAAATTAGGATTTTGCTTGACTGGGGGACGTGACTATTTTTGGTTCACATTTGTATTTGCAGGGCTGTTTTTGTGCGTAGACATGGAGAGGCATGTCGCCGTGATCGAGCGGATACGTCTTTGGTGGCTGCATATTCCTGCACTGGCAGGAACAATAGCATTCAATTGAAGGAGAAACAACTCTGTGTTGCAGATTCGCGAATTGCTCACAATCTCTCTTTGTGGAAGTTGGCATGCTTCATGGAGCTCCAGGTCCTGGATTGAGGATTGCCTTGGGGACGGCAAAATTGTGGACAGCTATAGGCTGTTTGGCTGAGTAGCTAACAGGGAATGTCCATTGCTGGTGGCAATTGATAACCCTGATATTCGAGGATGTATGTTGTCTGCTCGAAGCAACTCAAGTCCAATTAGGTCTCTCATTGCGCCACTGGGTTGGGTCTTTGTTGAACTGCATTATCCCGCCTCACAAGCAAGTTCATATCCTTCACAAGCGGGTTCAGATTATTTGAACCAATTACACGAGGAGTGTCAGGAATCATACTCTTTAATTAAGAAATTGGACTGTGTAAGTTGTTTGGGTAATACGTTCAACTTGGACAGAATCCTAGTCATGGCGTGGATTTTATTTTGGGAATGAAATTTAGATCATGATTGTCGTCAAGATACACTAAACCTAGACCGTGTGGGGGCTTTTATTTTCAGAGGATGGGAGTTGGTAAACCTAACCCCAAAGCTCTTAGGGCACAAATCAGAGGGTTGAGGTGCAGGTCAAAATTGGTGAAGTTCTAGATCGTGGGAAAGAGCTGGAGCCTCGACTGTCAAAGAGCATAATATGTATGGATTTGATGTGTACGAGACATGCAAAAATCAACGCTTGACAATTCCTATGTGTGTAGTGTTTACACTGTGATATTTTCTCCGCAAAAAGGTGTCCTAATTTAAACACCTTCATATTTTTCATGGAAGTGAAGGTTAGCTTCTGAGTAAATTGAGTGAGAAACTTGAATGGAGTCTGCTTATTGTGAAACCGAATGTGGAGAGTTTCTTTCAGCAGTGCCAAAATTTGAGGGACATACGAGTTTTTGTTTCAGTCATTCGCTAGAGGTTCATAGTTTGAACCTGTGGTTGATTGCCCAGCACTGTAGTACATCATGAAGTCGTCCGTTGGTGAGAATCCCCTCGTTAGGGCGAACCTGGGAGATAGGTTGTGAAGATTGTTATGATTTTGTGTCATCGCAATGTTGAAGAACTTGAAAGACATACTTCGGTATGTGCCACCTGAAGAAAATGAAGGTACATGTTTCTTGTCCATTTGCGTTGGTTGCCTGCCTTGAGTACCCTCTGCTGGAATTGCAACGTGCGTAAGAATGTAAACTTCAACGTTCTCTACATGGACACCACACTCCACATTGTAAGCAAATAAATCACATCAGTCCCTGCAGAATCTTAGATGATTTCTGTCAAAAACCACTACACCGCAGAGTCTTGAAAGAGTATCTATGTGCCAATCAGGAGAAACTATTGACCCAAGCGAAGATCCCACTTTCAAGACTCGAAAATGGCCCATCAGCAGACGCTACATGGAATCAGGTTTACAATCTTGTGCACGATAGGTCTAATCCATGTATCCTCCCATTGCTTGTGGCATTAATATTCAAGGTAACTGTCTCTAAAGCAATAAATTTTAGAGAGTCAAGGATGTGGTCATTATCGAGTCTTTTAGACAGGAAGCGGCAAGGTATAATTCCCTGCAGCTGAACGCATATTAATTCCAGGCATCCTTTAAGCTATCCAATCACTAGTCTAGAGCTTTATCAGTTTAAACTTAGACAGTCACATATGTGCAATGAGTCGTTGATTTAAGTGCATGGAATGAAAGATTTGCATGGGAAACAGCCTTGCAGGATATCTGCGAATACAATGATATTAGTGAGGAGCAGCTGGTCTCGGCACCTGAAACTATCACCTCCATAGAGATGTTTTTGTACAATTTCCCACATATTTGCTGCATGTCTTTCTTCCCCAATCTGGTGTCTCTTTCTCTGGTCCAGCAGAACCTTCTCTCCATCGAAGGGCTCCACCATTGCCCACATCTTGAACTCCTTCGCCTCAGCGAAAATAGCATTCAAAGGTAATTTGCTTCTGCATCGCAAATTGTGCAAATACCTAACATCAGCAGATGAGCCACCTTTCTACCAGACCAAGGAGCTTTTCAAACGATTCGAAAAGAAACTTGCTGCAGTACATACATTTAAAGTAATGTTCGATTCAATTTGCATGATAGGAGCTTCAGAATGGCTAAAAACTTCCTTCTCTAATATCTGATGTTTGCTTCTTGTTATGCTTGGTTCACACCAAAGTGCAGGATGGAAGGTCTAGGAAATTGCCTGAAGTTGAAGGAGCTCTTTCTCCACAGTAACCGAATTAACCGCATATCCGGAATAGCGCACCTCACAAACCTCGAGGTGCTATGGTTGTCAAATAATGAAATACTAAACGTAGAAGGTCTTGGCAACATACCTCTGAAAGAACTCAGTCTAGCTAAAAATCCAATCAGCCAATTGGGTGAGGTCCTGAACATGAAAGAACTGGAGTTCCTGAATGTCGCTGCTACCAACATAGGCTCTTTCAAGGTGGTTCCGTGCTTCAATTTATCAAATCTCACTTTCCTCACATCGAGCTAGAATTTCCTTACCTTGAGATGCTTGTCTCTTAACACACCTCTCATCCATAATGCGTGTTTCACTGATCTTCATCTGACATGAAGACGTCAAGCTTTAATGCCTAATGACGTCAAGCTTTAGTGCCTAATGACGTCAAGCTTTAGTGCCCAATGACGTCAGATTATTGCACACATGTTTTCATCACCAGGTTTAGTGGGAAGTCTGCACCTCTGAGTACTTGTACTCTTAGTCGTGTTGGAGGTTCTCAATGGCACATTCTATTTTACACAGCTGAAGCTCGATTGCGTGTTAACAATTTTTTAAGTGTATCATGTTGCATGCACATGTGAAATCTCGTCACTGATTTCTAAGAATGCTTTATACAGCAAGAAGTAGCCAGTGCTTAGGCAGTACGATTTAACTCATCGTCGATGGATTCCAGGAAATAGGCAACTTGACAAGGTTAAAGAACCTAAAAGACCTCCGGTTCTCAGATCCACAGTGGGGCGATAGTCCTCTTGCACTTCTTCACAATTACCAGGTATGATCTGTGGTGTGTTTTGCAAATTGATTATTTGACGCTCATCAGATCCTCAAATTGTCAAGATTTGGTCAACCACTAAATCATCTGCCTATAATGTAGGTGTGCGGTAGTAGTATTGATTAAGACATGCTCCAGTACCAATCATTCAACTTCAGTGAAGTGTGTGACAGATCATGATTGTGATCTAGAAAACTGCCAATTGTTACTTGAGTTCATGGAGATGATAGCAATCCAATTGTGTGCCAAACCTTGAACAAAGTAGAAAGGGTGTGCAGACATACATCTTGTTCCGTCTTCGCCAGTTACTGTCAGTGGACACAGTTGACTTGACAGAGGAGGCCAAACAAGCTGCAAGAGCCATGTATACAAGGAAGCGGGTTTACTATAACATGTGCATTAAAACACTCCAAGAAAACCGCAACAATAGCACTAACCCCTGTTTTAAGGCTGAAATACAAAGAATGAAATCTATGCAAAAGTAACTAGTTTTTGTTGTTTTTTCCCCTTCCATTCCCTCTTGACCTTGGAATTCAGCACCTTCTATAGCAGTCCTAGAAAGATTGTCTAATTTTCAATCTGGAATGGCATCATCCTGTGACGTTCAAACATTTGGGAGAAATTTTTATTGATTGAAAATGTTTTTGAGTCCTTATTGAATCTGTAATTTAATGCGGGGGGAGACCACAGGAATCTCTTAAAGCTTATGAAGATTCGCAAAATCCTGGAAAAGGAGATGTGTCAAGAACTAGATGAAGGTACTGCAAGGACGGGGGATGATAAGAGTGCTTTTAGAAAAAGCAACGAGGGGTGGATGCAAACAAAGGTGAAAGTTGCGACGGTTGATGAGCAGATCATGAGTGTAATGAAGCACCTTGATAATCTACGCACTCAACTTATCTTAGGAAAGGCCAAGGACCAAGCTGCTGTAGATTTGAATATTCACTGGCTTATGGTCGAGCTTGATACTGGTAACCACTGTATTTTACTAGCAACTTCATCCTGTGCTGTGCTCTCCATATTCACTTTACATTTGGAATTTCCGACCTTGAATATTGCATAAGTCCAACATTTTTGAGAATATTCGTAGATATCATAAATATATATATATATATATATATATATGTAGTGATGCTGACAGCAAGTTTGTGACTGTGCAGGTGGCAACATTCGAATGGAGGTTGGAAATTCAAAAGATGCCTGGTTTAAGAGCTGCGTGGAATTAGTTGTGTCGCGATTCTTCCTTGCAGACTTCGTTCCTTTTTCTATCACAGGGATGCAGGTGCTTAAGGTCACACGCATACACAACCGATTTCTTGAAGACCGATTTCAGCGGACTCTCGATGGGCATGTAAGTCACTAATTGCCCTTCAACAAGCTCTTTCTAAGTTGATTCTATTTTGGAAATGATATTTGTGTGAGGCATTCTATTGGTGTATAGGACATAATTGCTACTTCGATCTTTAGTACCCTAAAGTAGGAAGAAATTTCAAGGTCTAAACCTGTGCAGATGAATACTCTTCTCTGCAGACAAGAATAAACAGCAAAATGCATGTAGAGTATCTGCTTTATGGAGAGACATTGCAAGCACCGGATGAGCTGCAGTGTATTATTGAAGAAGGATTTCCATTTTCAGTGGTTGAGAATTCTCCAAATAATTCCTCAGGGCCTGTTTTACTTTCGAATTCAATTGGACTGGCTGACATGTGTCGCTTACAGGTAATATGGCTTCAATTTCTTGTATAATCAGCTTAGTAGTCTGGTGCAATTTGTTACTGATTGAAGAACAGGTGGAATAGAGCATAGGAGAATATCACTGCCAAATTTTCTGTAGGACAAGTTTGTATCATGGGAATCGGACGCTTTGTAGTACATTGGCATCAGTATCTAATTAGCCTGTTGCATGAACTCCATGATTGTCGATTTGTAATGGTTACTGTACGGTTTTTGAATTGCGTTGCCATTCTTACTCTACGAGAGAAGCATCTTTCGTATTTCAAATCATGAGTTGCGCGTTGTGTGAATGGCACTTAGCAGGCTATTGCAGAGCAGTCATCCAATATAAGCTGCAGAGGCAAAACAACAGGTTGGTTATTGGTCGTGAAGACATGTTTGGGTGCCTCAGTTCGAGACGTTACTCACGCTCACACTAGAAACCCACGAACTGCCATCATAGTCAATGGAGTTCTCCAAAGAGGTACACTTCCACTTTAGTTTGGTGAAGTTTTGCGTGCATTATAGCTAATATGCCTTTATGTGCTAAAATTCGTTCTGTTGGTGGAAAATTCCAATGTCTTTAGTGGTGACATGGGAGCGGTTGTTTTCGTGCAGAGAGAGCAGACTTTCCTCCTGCGACAAAGGCGTCGTATCCACATGCCGACTCAGTGTTCAGAACTCACCCTCAAGATTCTTCGCAACGCTCTTGGTCAGTGTTTAACGCAACTACAGTGGTCCCTGAATATCTAGTAGAATTTGAATATAGCTTCAAGGAATCTGATAGTAGCAAGCTGGACCCGGTCGTTGTTAGTCTGAAGACGAGCAAGAATTCAAGGCTGACCAATGGACGTATTGAAGATGCGGTATCTGTTGGTGAACATGAAGCTAATGGGAAATGTCAGTTTACAAGAACGGAAACTGAATGTCCTTATTCCTATGATCTGGTTTGTTCCACACCAAGACTACATACAGGAAAGGATGTAGCTTTATCCATTGAGTATCTCCTGAAATTGAACGGGTTGGAGGGCAGTTTTTTTCACTCGTCTTATCTCAACCTTCCTGACTGTAATATCTCGAAGGTTGACTTCCTTTACGGTTTACCAAGTCTCAAGGTTTTCGTATTATCATTCAACAAGATAACTCAAATAATCGGCCTGCAAAATTTGTGTGTGCTAGAAAGATTGGACATGAGCTATTATTTGTTGAAAAAAATTGAAGGTCTAAGTGGTCTTAGTAACTTGCTCACACTTGACTTGGCTGGAAATGAAATTTGGTGTTCGGATAATCTCGGTCTTCTGCAGTTGCAAGTTATCTGACCGTTCCTTTCTCGCATATGTGTTTATGGTTGCCTAGCTTGATTTTTCTAATGGGTCTGACCCTTCCAAATTTTGATTAGTTGAATTTCGAACTGTGCCGTAAAATTCCAAGTTGTGATAAATCCGATGTAGGTACCAGGCCTCCTGAACTTGAACTTGCGAAGCAATCCTGTTGTCGATGAGCCGAGTTACCAGGATCTAGTTCTACAAGCTCTGCCCTTGCTCGCAGAGCTTGACTGTAAGACTATCACTACCGGTGCGTGCTTGCCCCCAGTGATATCCTGTAGTTAGCGTGGTACATCTCGGACGAATAATGCTTTTAAATGGAGAAACTTTAAAAGTGCATTTGTGAAACAGTAAAGTTTTGTAACCACGTTGAACACCTACATGAAACGGGTTATATGATACTTTCGATGTCTTGTGCTCTACCTGACAAGACTGCCAAGATTTAAAAAGAAATTGTGCTGCGTAATTGAGTCTACAGATGACCGCGTGGCAGCCGTGAATAAATACTGTCCTCAGCCCCCTCTGTTCCCAACCACAATAGCAGAATGTGACAAACAGCCAGCAGCAATAGGTGTTTCACCATCCTTAAATGAGCAAGACCAGGACAACTATATCAATATTCTTAGGTCTAAACCAGTTCCTGAAAGTGCGGATGGAAAGCCGGAACCAAAACCAGTTGAACGAATTGAAAAGGTCCTCGCCCGTTCGGCAACACTGAAGAGTGGTGGTCAAAAGCTTGGAGACCCGTTCAGACTTAGTCCTTACAGGCTAAATCAGTTCACAAAATTCTACAGGATAGAGACAGCATCGAAGAAGAAGTCCTTGCACTCAGCGAAGGAAGGTCCAGCAACGTATGAAGGGGTTGAGGAGGTTCATTTGGAGAACAGGAAGCTCAGGACCATGTATTGCTTTGACAGGTTGCCAAATCTGCGACGTCTGTTCCTGTCAGGAAATGAAATATCCGTGATTGCAGGTCTTGATAGTTGTACCATGCTGGAAGAGCTGATTTTGGACGACAACGTTATCAAGCAGGTAATATTTGATTCCTGCCAACTCGTCTATACAACTGCTATTTAAGACAATGTCATCCTTTAGAATTTATGTTGCTCTGCATGGAATTTTCCAGCAGGAACTCCTCAAACGTCTCTTGGATAGCGTGAGGGGAATATCATTATTCATGAAACCCTGCAAAGTTCGTGCTTAGGGATTTGAACAATTTCTGGATCGTTGTTATTATTATTTAAAAAATAACAGTTGGTTTATTCTATTAGTTGCTTTCCCAAATAGTCTGGCGCATGTCTTTCAGATTTCTGGAATTAGTAAACTTCAATCATTGTGGAGACTGGACCTCGGCTGCAATCAGCTGACCTCATGCATCGATGTCGGCGCTTTCACCAGTATTGAGCAGCTCTCAATCGATAACAACCAAATAACATCCCTTAAGGTCAACTGCTATTCTCGTCAATTCAACGACATTAACGCATAACGGCATTTGTAAGAACTTAACAGTTGACGAGGGGAAGACCTTGTTATGTCATGGTGCATTGTTTTGTCTCGAGAAGTCCCGTTACGTCCGCATTGGATAAGAGGTGTTGGAATAATTCTAAAACGCAAGGCTCAAGACAACATGCTGAGAAATTGCGTGAATTTCTTTTCAGGGAATAGAAGGTTTGATATCGTTACTGGAGTTATATGCTCAGAACAACCAACTTACCAAAATGACGGAAATCCAGTTTGTCCGGGATTTACCCAAGCTGATGGTTGTGAATTTTTGTGGCAATGCTTTTTGTGAAGATCGAGACTATCGACTGTACACAGTCTACTCTATTCGTAAATTAAAAGTAAGGCACTTCTTGAAGATCTCGAATTGACCTTTTTGTAAGCAACTTCACGAGTGTTTCGTACAACTTGTACACTTTATAAGAGTGCGCAATATCTCTGAGCCTATTTATTCTTTCTGTACAAGACGCCATGCCGTGGGACTCAAAGACGTGCAAATATGTTCAAATTTTATCACATACCTTATTGATGATTATCGCTCTACAGGTTCTGGATAGTGTAAATGTAAACAGCCAGGAATTGACAGAAGCACGTAACAAGTATACCGGGCGCCTTCAAAAGGAGACTGTTGAAGAGATTGTGGGTCACAAACACTACGAAACCGTGCAGGTGAAATTTTTGTGAACAATTTCCAAATGACGAAGAAACTGTCTACAGTATGTCGTTTAGTAAATTTAAAATGGCTGGTCATAGCTCATAGTAACACTCTTTACATATGTTTCACAAGAAATATAGACGTCATAATTCAAACCAGCCTCGTCATGAACACATTATAGACTTAAATCACTAGTTTGATAGACCGTTTTTTAAATGATTTCGAGAAGTATTTGAATATGGTTTTACAATGATGGCTTGCTTGTGCTTAGCACCTCACGAAAAACTGCGCGTCTTGGCCCAGGTATTGGATTTAGCTGAACAGAAAATTCGACACTGTGGAGATGTATTTGAATCACCGGAGTTTCAGTACTTGAGAGAGCTCAATCTAAATAATAATATGATCTCGTCGTTGCATCCCCTCAGGTGATGTTTACTGCTCTATTAGCTCTTTTCGTTTCAAGTTTGCTTCTTAGCAGTCACACTTGAGCTTCAAATCGAGGTTTATCACTAGCATGACGAGCAGCTGCTTCCGTGAAGGAAAATCCCAACTTAGAGTTGTTGAATAGTCTTGTAATTTTACTGCGTAAGTAAGAGGCTTCCATGTCTTGTTATTTGTTTCAAAAAAAATAAATCAGCTCTGTTGAGGTTCGTAGTTAGAGATTTAAATTATTCCATACTATGTTCCTCTTTTACATAAAACACCAATTGATACAAGCGTGTGCTTTCACGATGCAGGTACTTGTCAAGTTTGATAATTTTGAGGTTAGAAAACAACAATATTGAAAACGGGCCATTGTTACAGCCGCCAAGCGTCTCCACCAGCCCAGAAACCGGAAGCGAGGGCGAAAGGCAAGGAAAAACAGTTAACTCAGTTGCGAGCACGTCTAGGCTTTCATTGGAATCACTTGAGGTTTGTCATACATTAGCTCTTAGCAGGCAGGATTTGTTGTAAAATGTACTCAAACATTTTTCAATGTTTTAGTATGAAAAGTACTCAAAGATGGAACGGTAGTGCAACCGTCTGCCACATTTTGCTTCCTAGATGCATCTGAATTTTACATGAATCGCCTTGGTCTATGGCTACAGCCTGTTAACTGGACTGTGAGGTCCATTGACTTCACCTAAGTTAGGCTCACATAACCCTCCAACAAGTAATTCAAACCTGAAAGGAACACTCTCTTGAAACTGAATGCAAAGTCAGGATGCAAAGGTGTAGAACTTTTATTGACATGATGTGTGATCAACAATCTCGTGTTCCGTGTGTACAACACAATTCTTAAGAGATCGTCAGGATATTCCGTGCTCTCGTTATAAACTGTCAGCAATGGATTGTTGACGATATTGCAGGTTTTGGAGTTAAGTGGTAATAGCATAAGCAATATTATGTCATTACGGCTGTCTAAATTTTCAACGCTCAAGCATCTCTCTCTTCAAGACAATAAAATTACTAAGGTATGAACTTAAATTCTAAAGATTACTAATGAGCATTTTTACAGTGATTTCTTAAATTAACATACCTTCCTCATATACGCAGAAAACAGTACACTTTTGATTTAATATGATGTCGTTAACCAAAATCTGACAAACTGCATTTCTGAAACAAATAAATCATATATGCCGCTTTATGGATTAAACGGAAGCATCCTCGGTAAACAAACACCCCAGTTCAGAAGTTGGCGGTGGATCATGAATACTGCTGACTAATTGCATTTTATTCTGTTCATTTTAGCAACATGGTATTTTTTTTATTTTTTATTATGCAGGTTGATGGATTGGAAAATTTAAGACATCTGGAGTATCTGTACTTAAATCACAATAGCATAAAAGAGTTGGATCCAGGATCATTCGCAAACCTGCAGAATTTACGAATTTTGCACCTGGGCGACAACTCCCTGAAGACCCTGGTGCACCTTGGGGGACTAAATGCCCTTGAGAGTTTGGACTTAACATCAAACCTTCTCACTCCCAATCGACTCGGAGGTTTCGCCAGCATTGATTACTTGTCACCATTACCCAAGCTTACTAAGCTCTGGTTGAACAACAACCCGGTAAAGACATCACGTATGTGAATTTAGTTGCTTAATTGAGAGCAGAAATAATGTAAATAATTCTTTACAGCTAAGATGCTTTTACAGTCCTACACTGTGCTATCGATTTACAACAGTTCAACTCATAGCTATTGAGAAGACTCACCTGACAAGCATCTTAACATTGGATTCTTACAGATGAGTAGGCAGAACTATTACCGAATTTCCGTTATAAGCAGGCTGGATCACCTTGAACAACTGGATGGACGTCCGGTATCTCAGGTTCGTCACGTAATTGTTCAAAGACAATCTTGTTGAACCCTCGCCTTGCTTGATTCTATAGACATTTTATTCCTTCAGAAATCCCCCACGATGTTCCAACAGAAGCCCACGAACTTCTGAGCTTTCAAGGAAGTTCAGTAAATCTTCTACCATATTCTCGATTCTGTCATATCCTCCCAGACCTTTACACTGAACTTTTTTCGTATTCCAAAATATCCTCAGGAAGAGAGGCAAGAAGCTGAAGCTTACAGTACCGGAAAGGAGCCGAGCGCCATTGTTGTGGATCCAAACGTGTTATATGAGAGCCCGCCAAACTCAATGACGGTGTGTGGCCAAATAAAGGTTCCGCTGAAAGTCACGTCGATGAATTTCGACACTATCTGCGCATCTCAAGCATCAAAATTGAATGGGTTGCGGGGGTATGGATTAAATCAAGCAAGCACCCAGAATGCGACCTACAACTCACTGAAGCATTGGGAGCAGATGGACGCAAAACAGGTAGGGTCTTTGGTACGGAAAGGTAGCAAAGGTGAGAACAAACTCTTAATGTTACCTTTCCAGACTTTCCTGAAGACTGTCACCTCTGGGAAGGAAAGAATACCGTAAGTGGCTGACTCCTACTCAAAGCGAAATGTGTATTTTAATGACAAACTCGAGTTGTCTTCAGTTTAGGTTGTGCTACTTCATGGGATTCTGCCATTGTTCTTTTCACATACTCATCATTGTTCTGATGTAAATCTAGCAAGTCAAAGAGGCTAGAGATAATGGGTTCTTGAATAACTGACCTGCAACGTTGACCTTGCAAATAATGCCTACGTGTACAGTGACAAAACAACCAGGTTTGCAATATCAACCTCGCAGACGCTACTTTCCTTTACAACAGCCATGTCTAAGGTAATACACCTGTATTCTTACTAAAGTTTCGAAGTCTATGAGAAAGCTGGTTCCTCTTCGCTCTGTTCCTAGTAGTGCCCTCCGCTAGCTCCATCATCTCCAGCTTCTGCTAAACCTTCTTCCCATCTGAAGCTGCTCCTCGTTGCCTCCAAAGTCCACATCGGCTTTCCCCTGATTGAAGAGCTTTTTATGCGGCGTCGACTGTGCAATGGATATTCATGAATGGGAAGTTGTATAATAACTACAGCCAGGGAAGATGACGTCTCTGAGATTTATTGCTTTAACACACAGTGACTTTAGGACTCATTTAATTGATGTTCTTGTTATTGGGAACTATTTAAGTTCATTTATTTGCTGCGATTGTTAAACCCTATCAATCATTTTCATGACATCTTGTGAATATATGCATGCAAGTATTGAGCTTTTTCCAAACAACGAAATCAATGAATAGTTAAATATTCATTTAAGTTTTTTTTATTTTTATTTTTATTTTTTGTTCAACATGAACAGCCGTACAAATATATAATACTTTTGGAATTTAATGCATGGATAGATATACAGATATAGAATTCTAATTTAGTTATTTTTGTTTAAAACAAACAAGATAATGGATTTGACAACAACCATTTAAGATTAGTTATATAAAAATTGTGCTATAAAAGATGAATCTAGAAATAGAGATATAAACAAGTTTGATTATGTTTACATGATTATGATGATACAAATATATGTGTAGCAAAGAATTTGTATTGTGCTATTGTGCATTTTTTAGCCTTAGACATGGAAAAACTAAGAAAATTGGAATACGAAAATAAAACTTAAAGACAAGAAATTTACTTAATAATGTGATCAAATATGTGCTACAACATTAATATCCAAATTGTATTCATCTACATCAAAGTTGTGGAGAATAAAGAAGACAAAGAATCTTAACATTTTAAATGTCAAAAAATGAAATATATACATTAATAGTTATGTATATAGAGAAATATGTTTTGTTTTGTATTTTTATTAAAAAAAATCAACAAAAAGAAAGAGAATAAAGAAACCAAAGCTCTATTAAAGAATATTCATTAATAAATCAAAGATATTTGTCTTTGTGTAAAATAATAGAGATTAAGAGTCTAATAAAGAATATACATAATATGGTAGAATGGACTATTATTATTAAAAATTTATACATACAAAGAATATAAAAATAACACAATGTTTGATATTAACAAAGCTTAAATATATATTTTTTGTATACTGATTAGATTCATAAAGATAATAAAATCAATCTTAATGTTGTTACAATTGTAAGTGGAATAAACTAAATATTAAATATTTACTATTTTTAGAAATAAAGGCAATTAATGACTTAGTCTATCAATTCATTGAAAAAACATCAATACAAGATTTATATTAATAAATATTTAATACTTTATTTTTTAGCAAAAATAAAAGGTATTAATAACTTTAAATTCAACTTTTTTTTACTAATAAGCTTTAAAGAATGTAATAAAATTTAATCAATATATCTTACATTGTAATCTTGACATATATAAATATACTTATATTAATAGAAAAGGTAGCTATTAGTATTGCAAATATTATTATAAAAAAATCATAGAAATTTCAGTTTTTAAATAAGAATAAAATTCAATTTAGATAATAAAAATAAATAAAATAAGATAATTTATTTTTTAATTCATTAGAAGAAGAAAATAATAGGAATAATTCTACAAAAATAGTAGCATTAAAAAAGTTACGGTTTCAATGCACGAATGGAAATAATGAATAATTAATCTGTTATTTTTTAGAAAAAATTGAATTGGTTGTAAATGAGATTGTGGCTGCTATTTATATAAATAAATAAGGAAATAATGCATAGATTAAACTTATAAGTATTATTAATTTTGAAAAGTTAAATATTATTTTAAGAGTTTTTAACAATTTAAATTGATTGTAAAAGAATGATTTTCTATTATAAAACTATATATATATATATATATATATATATATATATATATATATATATATGTTTTTTTTTTTTTTAAAAAAACTAACTTGAAAGTTGCAATTTAGAAGGATTTTAAAAAAATCAACATCAAATATATTAAAAATTAATATTATATATGCCTAAGTATCCTTGTTTAGGATACCAATTTTATTTTAAATTTTGAAGTTGACTATCTAAATTGAATTTAAACACAAGAAAAAAAATATACTTAAGATGTCTTATATTTTTTTCTTCATGTAATGTGATGTGTTGTCTATGTATCAAAGTAGATTTTCTTGTATGCAGTTAAAAATTAAAAATGTATAAATATTAGATAATTTTTAATATATTTGTGAATTGAAGATGAAAGGAGATATTTTATGTATGGCAACAAGTTTGTGTGGCAAAAAATACAATAAAGTATTATATAAGAGCTATCCAAAAAAGATTTAATAAAATCAATATTTGGTATAAGAAACAAATAATATCATGAGCAATATGAACAAAGCATTCAAGAAAAAATATAAGACATCTTAAGTATATTGTTTTTACTATTTATATTAAGAGTACCAATATTAATATAATCATGGTAATGCCAAGAGAATCATAAGTAACATAATATAAACAAAAATATAGAAGAAATATAAAAAGAGATACAACATCAAAGACATAATTATAAGAATCAAAATAATGAATAAGAAATTTGCCAATGTATTAACATTTCTACTTGGCAACAAGTCACAAAATCAAAAATTACACCTCAATTTTTTTCTATGGAATTTCTTTTTTCATATTGACAATCCAAAAAAGTTTTGAAGAAATAATACATAATCATTAAATAATTTCAAATACTACACAAATAAATAGAAATTTAAGAGCATTTCTAAGTTTGAGGCTTATAATACATTTTTAACATTTTTTCTTTAAATAAAATATAATCTTGTAAAACAATTAATAAAGCTATTTCCAATTTAAGATTATAATGAAAATCAAATAGAGAAAAATCTACAAAATAAGCACAGAGATGCATAGAGTATAAAGAGTCTACAATGTCAATGTCATGAGAACAAATCATAAAAACTAATACATGGAAACCACTAGATCCAAATATAAAAAGACTGTTTAGTACTCAAATCATAGGTGGATCAACACAAAATAAAACAAGTACTAGCAAATAGGTAATTAATTACCTATTTTCTTTGTAATAAAATAATTACATAAGGATCCCATAATGTATTTGAAATCAACCAATTAGTAGATATAGCCTTTATCAACATTGCATTAGAAGTTCTTTCTATCTAGAAAATATATATATATATATATATATATATATAAAATTGGATTGTAATAGGAAGTGGTGTTGAAACATAGAAAGCATACTCCACACAAGTAAGTTAGGACCAGCAAGGTTGCACTTTAACAAATAGAGTGTGGTATGAGATAATTCTTCCCATGCCAACCCTTTTCTTATATATTAGTATCAAGGTACCAAGTGCTACAATCGATATGGGATATCTCCTAGGACCAGCCCTCCCCTTGTACTCTAATGCACTATAGACTAACACCTAACCTTATGGGATATCTCTAACAACACTTGTACTCTATTGACCATTAGCAACTACTTAAAGAGTTCTTTTCTCAACACTTCCACTTTGCTATTGGTCAATTAGCTATCAATCCTAATGCCTGACTCAACTTCTTGTGTCTTTCTCTAACTAAGGCTTTTGTCAACAAATCAGCCAACATGTCTTTGGTTTCACAATACATCATATCAATAACCTCCATCTCTATCTTCTCTCTTATGAAATGATGCTGAATATCAATGTACTTAGTTCTTGCATGATGCTTTGGATTCTTTGTAAAAGCAAGACATCCTTGATTGTCACACCTCAATCGAGTAGCCTCCAATTGCACAAGTCCAATATCTTCCAATAACAACCTATACCAAATTGCCTCCATTGCTTTATGACTTGCTGCCAAATACTCCGCCCCTATTGTGGACCTTGCAATGTTTCGTTGTGTCTTGCAATTCGAAGATATGGCTCCCACTCAAACAAAGAATACATAGCCTATTCTTGACCTTCAATCATTTGTATCTCTCTTGGTTCTAAGCACCCACTTACATCCAATTGTTGTGGAAATATGTGGTTCTTCCATTATTCACCTTGTGGTCTTCTCTCACGTGTTGGATATCTTCTTTCATGCAAAGGAGATGAGCCTTCTTGTACCTCTTGCTACCTTGTATGGCTCATGGAGTGCTTTCTCTTACTCATTGGTTGATATTCTTCATCTTCATTCTCTTCATGGTCTTTGTTGTATCTTGCTGGAATTGAAGTCTTCATAGTATTGGGCTCTTCTATCATGGCACCTTCTTCTTCTTCTTCACTTTGAGAATGCTCTTCTTCATCTCATTGTTTGTTTGCTGGAATTGAAGATGTGTCCACAAACACACCACTACTTCCACTTGGACACATCTCCCACTTTTCACTACCACTCAAAGATGGTATCCTCATGGGTCCACAAACATCGGAATGGACAAGCTCCAGCAATTGGTTTGTTCTTTCAGCAACTCCACTAGGAAATGGTGTCCTATGTTGTTTGCCTTGAATGCATCCCTCACAAGCAAGATTCATAGTAGAATGGCCAAGGTCTATGCCATTTACCTTGGATTGAAGCCCCTTCATGCCTTTGGCATTCAAATGCCCAAGTTTTTGATGCCAAATGCCCATCTTCTCTTCATTTGATGGAAATTCAGCAAAGGTAGCAACCTCCACTCCATTGATCCTCTTACAATTGATAATATAGAGATTGCCATTTCTAGTCCCTTTTGCTACTTCTTTGCCTTCCATGGTTCTCACAAAACATCCATTCATATTAAATTGTACTTTGTATCCATTAGTTACAAGTTTACTCACCGAAAGGAGGTTCTTCTTCATCTTTGGCACATGCAACACATCTTTAAGAGTGATTCTCTTACTTATGCCCTTCACCACCACCTCCACTACAATGGTGCCTATTCCAATGGCTTGTACCATACAATTATCACCTAACCAAACCTTGGTTACTTGAATTGGTTGATAACTGTTAAATGAACACTTGTATGGAGTCATGTGTTTAGTACATCTAGAATCCACAATCCATTTGCTCATATCAAGCATGGAAGGAGTTTGTTTTGCCATGAATGCAAAGTCTTCACCTCCATGGTCATGAAAAGCATTGTTGGTATTCTCTCTTTCTCCTCTCTTTGCCTTGAAATAATTTCTAGCAAAATGGCCTGGTTTTCTACAAATGTAACAAGTTTTAGGAGGATAACGTTGAAAAGGGGCACTTGCCTTACTTGGTCTTGTAAATAGTGCTGATTGCTCCCCAATAGACTCCTTTTGCTTTTTTTTGGTCACTTCATGGGCTAGTCTTGCCGTTACATAGTCCAAAATGAGGTCTTTCCTTGAAATGGACTCCAATGCCACAATGAGGGAGGAATAGAAGTCCGGAAGGCTTGAGAGCAATGTCATCACAACATCTTCTTCAAGTAAAGGCTTGTCAACAACAGCAAGTTGGTTTGCAAGTGCTTTTACCTTATTCATATGAGCCATGAGATCTTCACCTTCTTCCATCTTCACGGTGAAGAATTTTTGCCTTGACGATATCACATTGGAGAGATTCCTACTTTCATAGACATTGCAAAGAGTCTTCCATGCATCTGCTGCCCTTTTATAAGAAATGACATGAGCAAAGTTACTTTCATCTAAATTGGTGGCAATTATGCCAAAAGCCTTCTTCTCTCGTCTTTTGAAGTCTTTTTGCTCTTTGATGCTTGCCTCTATCCCAGGTGCAAGTTCCTCCTCATCTACTACCTCCCAAAGATCCAATGACGCCAAAAGTAGCTCCATTTTGGCCTTCCAGTGGTGAAAGTTGTCACCTCTAAACTTTTCAACAACTCTTAAGCTATCACCCTCAAAAGACGCCATCTCAAGCTACAAGTAGGTCCAAAAAACTCTTGATTTGGAGTTGTAATGCAAAAGATATGACTACTTAAAGATTGCTGAACTACAAACCCAGAATTCGCTGTTTTGTAACTTTTTGCATATTTTGAGTCCAAATTACGTCTAAATGGTGGAGAATGGTTTGTAATGTGATTTTGTGACTTTCAAACGTCTCTCTAACGTCACTTCACTCAAAATGACTCACTTTCTCATAAAACTCTCAAATACTAGTGCTCTTTCAGCAAAGACACTATCAAGGTCTTGCACTAAGTTCATACACTCACAAATCCAGGAGCAATGACTTCAACAATTCACTAGCAACACTCTACCATAAGATCTCAACCACCAAAAACAAGCAACAAAGAAATAATGCAAGAACAACTTACTTGGTAAGAGAATGTGGGCCCATAACCTGTTGAAACATAGAAAGCATACTCCACACAAGTAAGTTAGGACCAACAAGGTTGTACTTTAACAAATAGAGTGTGGTATGAGATAATTCTTCCCATGCCAACCCTTTCCTTATATATTAGTACCAAGGTACCAAGTGCTACAATCGATATGGGATATCTCCTAGGACCAGCCCTCCCCTTGTACTCTAATGCACTATAGACCAGCACCTAACCTTATGGGATATCCCTAACAACACTTGTACTCTATTGACCATTAGCAACTACTTAAAGAGTTCTTTTCTCAACAGGTAGATCTCTAACTTAGTTTTGCCTTCAAGCCTAACAAAGTTATATTACTTCCTTACAAAAAACATAGACAAACAAAACAATGAGAAATTAACTAAGACTTATTTCAATTCCTTGAAGCAAGTTAAAAAACCAAATTGCATAGAAATAGATAAATAATAATAATAATAGTAGTAATAATAATAATAATTTTAATAATACTTGGTTTTTTTTAAAAAATAATCTTGGCATTAAAAATAAAACATGTATTGTTAAAAAATTTATTTTTGTGGTATATAATAAATGTAAAAATAAATAAAAATAAAATAAAATAAAGCTTTGATATTTCTAGAGACAATTCAAAATATACCAAGCTTTCAAGAAAATATAAAAAAATGTAGTTTATTCCTAGAACTTTATATATATATATATATATATATATATATATTATAGATTTAATACTTATGTACTTAAGATTGGTCAAAATATCTTATAAAGTTTACAAATAATTTTTGAGACTTTTTAAATAGATATTTACACAATACTATTTTTAAATTTAATAGAAAGAAAATAACATGGATTTATTACTTTTTTGTTTCTCATTAGAAGGAAAAATAATAATAGTGACTTTGATAGTCAATGTATTGGAGTGAGAAAGCAAGTAATAATGTATTTTTGATAGATGAAAAATATTTTTTTTGGCTCAAGTTGCACATGTACAATAATAGTGTAAGGCTTATTCACAAAGATGCTACTATTATGTGTGTGTTAAACAAAAGAAATTAATATTTTATATATAGCAGTAGAATGTTATACAAACTACAATTCACTTAAGTCAAGAAAGTATGTCAGCTTATTTCCAATTAAGCTTTTTTTATTTAAGACCAATGAATTTAAATGATTTAGCTATTTTAAAACAATGTTATACATATAATTGAAATTCAATTTGTATTAATAGAATAAAAAATAAGCATAAAAGTTAGATGTAGAATCTAATAAATAAAATAGAATTAAAAAAAATTATATTGATTTGGTTAAAATGTAAATTAACTAAAATCTTTTCATTTATATTATAAATTATAAAATATGTTATTATAGTAGACACATTGTTCTTCTCTTACAAATTTGCACATTGCATGTACATAAGCAATAAAATTCTATAAAAATAGACTGTATACAGAATTTGGGATATATTTTATGTATTAAACCTTGGCCTTAAAGATTGGACAAAAGCCAAAATCGAATTTAATCTTACTTTAGAAGATTATTGTATATATACTAATAAAATCTCTAAATATCTCATGTATTGGCAAGGTCTTCTTATAATTGAAATCCTTGTTCTACAAGCTAAGGATTAGATAGGACTATTTAAATATGTAGAGAATCATATTTTAGCAGTAGTGTTTTAATTCCAAACAATTTAAAGGGAAATTTAAGAACTCTTTTGTTACAATATTCCTAAACCATTAATAATAAAAATACATAAAGTATGAATATTATTTAGGATGCTTTACAAAATTAAATGCTGGCAAAGTTCTTAGAAAATGCTAGTCAAGATTGCAATACACATGATTTTAAACTTATGAAAAAATATTCTAAAATTATTGTAATACAATCCTGACACTGTCTCAAATTATTATTTTTTCATGCCTTAAATAATTGAAAAAAATCATATTAATTTAAGAAATATACTCAAGTCAAAATTATGTGGAATTAGACTATATTATTGATAATCAAATTATCCTCAAGTATGATGCATTTAAGTCTTTAAAAAAAACTTATTTAGCAAAAAGTTATTTTTGTATAGATATATCATTTTAGATTTAATTATTTTGGTACAATCTATACTCTTCTTTGAGGATGCATTGTGTAAAATTTTCAAATTAAAAGATATTTAAAAAAAAAACTAGTAGAATATTTAAAGTAATAGAGGAATTTACCTAGAAAAAATTGGATAACAACATAATAATTTTGGTTCATTAATTTAACAACCATGTGATTGAAATCGGTCTTAAACCGTTACATTATTTTTTAAGACCTTCCAACTAAATGCACAAATGCATAAAGTAGTATTTTGATTTTTTTTTAAAAATATTCTTCACAACTTAACTATATAAAAATCTAATATTTAAATTAGATATATATATATATATATATATATATATAATTATTTTATTGACATTTTAATATGAATTATGCTTTAAATTAAATTAAATTTTCTTCACTTTTGATATTTTTAAATAACTTAAAGTGCACTTATGCTCTGCAAATATTTTTCAGATTATTCATATGTATATGTGTGTGTATATAAAATATACATATGACCAAATTACTTGACATTATTTACTGGAATGGAAGTTGCCCCTAGGTTGTAAACATATATCCCTTAACTAGTATTTCTCACAAAATTTATAAATTTTCCATCCATCAAGTTTACAAATTAAGAGGGATACATTTGTATATACATAAGTACATACATACATTTTCTAATTTTATTTCATAATAAATTTGCAAAATTAAAGCTAAATGTTGTAGTTTAGATGAAAATTTTAATTCCTACAATAAATCAGTAAGAGTTGATTTTTATTCTGTTGAATTTTAATCATAGAATTCTAACTACTTCATATTATTCATAAGAAAAGATTATTGAGTATGTTACATTTTCATTAGTTTATTTTCCTTTCTTTTGTAGTAATGTAGCAGAGGATATTCTCTTTCAGGGGTTGCTCATGTTATAAATTAATATATTAAAAAAAATCCTTAATTTAGTATGAATGATTAGAATGAAAATCATGGGAGTAATTTAAGTTTTGCTTTTTCTTTTTTCATTTCGTGTGGCGTGATATGATAACTTTCATTGCCAAGTACCAGTTACAAAATATTCTATGATACCAACTTTCATTTTTCTTCAATTTTTGCACACCCTCTTTTAACAAGATGGTGCTTTGTGGTGCAATAAGTATGAATTAAAGCAACCAAGTCCAACCAACTTTGTGGCTTTCCTCAGCAATCCGTTTTTTTTTTTTTTTTTTTTTTAAATTTATTTATTTGCTAAGAATTCCGATGCATTAGAATATCTCATAAAATCTATTACAAATTCTGAAAATAAAATGATATTTAGGGTGATCCGCAGAAGATCTAAGAAGAAATTATGTTGGGCATGGAGGCAAGCTCACACCCACGTTCTGAGTGGAATCTGACCTCCAGCGAGAAAAAATGGTCAGGCAGATTACACGCAGAATTGTTCTCCTCTCCCACAAAATCCATCTTTCTTCCTTCCCTTCGGAGCTTCAAACCTCGGCAATGGAACCAACTGGAAGCACTAAACTTCGATCCGTCGATCGCTTGATGATGAATGTTGCGCCTCCTCTTTAGGAACGTGGCTTTTTTGTGTTGTAATTTCAGGGTTAAGGTTGTGTGCGTCGGGTTCTGATTTCTTAATTTCGGTCTCATTTCTTGTTTCTTTCGCTTTGTGAAGTCTATTTGTGTGGTGGTGCAAGCAAAAACAAGATGAGCCTACAAGATACGGAGGAGTTGAAGGCCAATCTCTTCACTTATAAAGAGCAGCTCAAGCAAGTAAGTCGAATCATGTAACGATACTCGACTCGAAGTTTGAATGCATTACGTGGTTTTGAACAATTGTGTGCTTTTCTGTTTGTGTGGTGGTTGGTGTCTTTGTGAGGGTCGATATGTTGGATTTGACGTTGCGAGTGTAGGTGAAGGAGTTGCTGGTGGTGGACTCGGGAAATACGGAGTATCAAGAGATGGCAATAGGTCTGACGGAAGTAAGTAATTGCGAAAGAGTCTCATGGTGTGTCGGTGCTTGTAGAGTATGAAGTAAAGGGGGGAGGTGGTTTGTGTAGGATTTGTGTATTTCAGGTGAGGATTTCATGTAGCGTCAGGCGATCGTAGTGTCAAGTAGCTAAACGGACGGGCACATTATGAGGATCAAGATAGTGTAGGGAGTGTTAGCTAGGGCTTGGAACTGTCCTAAGGATCATCAATGTTGTTCAAGCAGGGCAGCACGACTCCGCTGCATGCGAGAGAGGACCTTTTTCGGAGTTTCTTGGCAAGGTGACGTGGTTTGCTCTATTGACTCGTAATGGTTTCCAACAGTGGTCGGGATTTTGCTTCTTCGCTCACTCTTACACTTTGCTGAGATGGACATTAGCGTTTCGTCAACTTCCTGCTCGTATACAGCAATTGAACCAGCCAATTTCAATCACACTATATCTGTATGTGAGGTTCAAGTTTAGGTCTTGGTGTTCATGCTCTGTGCAGGTATTCAACAATTGATCTGCCAGTTAATCTGGCTTCTCGCAGGTCCTAGAGCTGACTTACGATTTACTTAATGAAGCGCAACAAGCCAAAGAAGATGCTGCTTTGGAGCTGGAGCAGCAAGAAGCTGCGGCAGCAAACACGCATAGTCCTCCGCGTCATCCTTCAGCTACATACAAACCGCAACAGGTGGTACATTTGACGTCTTGCTATCCCAGTTCATGTGGACAAGGAGTTGAAAATGAGAACATCCGGACTTCGATTGGAAATGATAGGAAATACGGTTACAAAGATAGTTTGATGACTGTAGGGTTCCTTTCAAAGGAATTCTTGGCCGTAATTCTGTTGAAAAGAATGTCAAATGTTTGCATACCACCGCCCAATTTCATTCTACTGTACAAGCTGTCGCTGGTTAGGGCTCACCTTTCTCTTCCGATTAAGGTTGATTATTAAATAAGTCCTCTGGGTATGGATTGCCGTGTTCCTTCATGCAGAATGAGAACTTCGTACACATTCCTGGAAGACTTTCTGTTGGGACCAAGGTTCAAGCCATTTGGAGTGAAGATGGAGAATGGTAATTGATTTTGTTGCTGAAGTATTGCCTTCCTTGCGTTTATGGATGTTTGGACTAACTGATTTTGGTCTTTATTTGGACAATCTTTTGAAAAAGCTGTATATTCGAAACAGAATCACTCACATGCATACCTGCATGAAAGGTAGGGTATGCCATCAGAAAGCATTGAGCATTTTCGCTGATTTTCATTTTGGATGTTGACCTTAGTTATTCTAAGTTGTTGACTTGACTGCACTACCAACTGACCCGCGGTCTTTCTTGTTTGTTGAACGCAGGTATAAAGCTACAGTGGAAGCAGTTACTCCTGGGGGTTATTTTGTCCTCTATGATGAATGGGGCAATAAAGAAGAAGTGTGTATTTCCTCTTTCTTCAATTTTTTTTTCTTCCAATTTACGGATATATGTGTACCTACGGTTTTGTGTTTAAAAATTATGATTGCCCTCCGCAGGTAGATGCTTCAAATGTAAGGGAATTGAATATCCCAGATGACGAGGTTGAGGTTTTAGATCAAATGCTTGGTGGAGCCGAGGTAGTCGACAATGTGAATACAAATTCATGGTTGGACGCCGAGCAAGAAGCTAATCTCACCAGGCTTGCTTTGAAGAAAACGATTGAAGATGCTGCTGACATAAATGTCATCTCTAGGGGCGTGCCCCCCAAGTTGCGAATCAAACCCGATGATTCTGAGGATGTGGTGGGTGTACCTTATGGATTCAGATTGTATTGACGTTTGTATTGTTCTTATCTTTTGTGTTTGTATGGATACTCAAACATCTGAAGGGTGTGCGTTATTTGCAGATAGCAGCAAAGAAGAAAAAGATCCACGCTTTCAAGTCAAAAGCAAGACTTGAACAGATGGAGCTCACACAGAACAAGCGTCAAAATGCTTGGCAGCAATTTCAAACTACCAAGGGGAAAAGCAAAAAAGTAAGTGGTAATGTGTTTTATATTACTTACAACCTTATTCTCATCCAGCATGATGGCAGCAAGTGTGCGGGCTTGGTTGTTGTTTCGGCCCACTGTTCTAATGTAGCTTATTGTGTTGGTTTACTTGCAGCAAGGAGGATTCTTCACAGGGCGCAAAAGGGAGAGTATTTTCAAATCTCCTGATGATCCTAAGGGAAAGGTAGGCGTCACAGGTAGTGGAAAAGGGACCACTGAATTTCATAAACGTGAGAAGCATTTGCACCTTAAATTAGGTGTTGGAGATGGGGAAACTTATGTATGAATAATAACAAACAAACAAAAAACAAAAACAAATAAATAGAATTGAATAGAATTTCCCCTCCAAACTTTTCAGGCTCTGGTCGAGCATAAAACAGACTTTTATATTCCAAACAGGTAAAACATGTTTCTTTCGAAACTCCAGCCCTGAACCCAGTTCTCCATGAAAGCACGTTGTGTAATCGTTCACGATTCTGACGACTTTGGAGGTTGCACTTTCGAGACGTGGTATGCAGAACATGCTATTACTAACATACAATAAAATAATACACTTTTTGAATAGATACCTGTCACATCATGCGTTTGGAGTTCAGTTCGGATACTTTGAGGCTATACACACTTTGCATCAGTGTGGAAACCAATACGCGAATATCGATTCTTACTTAAATTAGTGTGGAATCCTCACCATCGTAGTACATACACGCTCGCAGGCACGTTCCCATGTCCTTGTTCCCGATGCTCCCACCCCACAACCCTCAAGGACAATGTGTGCATGGGCGTATAAAGCTAACTAGGAAAAGGCTCCTTTCTCACTGGTGTGCAGAGGCAAAGCCCTCGAAGATTCGTCCGTTCCCTATGACTGGGAACGTGATGACGAGAACCGATGACACCAGCACTCGTAAAACGGTGGGGTTTGCTTTTTCACATCGGTGGGAAAAGTAAAAAAACAAGTTCCTCCAATTAAACTAGACTGCATGCATTTTCTTAAGGTTGCATGGGTTACTCAAATTGGTCAACTCATTTAGTTGGTGGAGCCTATCATTCCATTGGCATGGTGTCCAGACATCTCGCACTCTTGGCGGTACTTTCTTAGAAAATGACCAGCGACCTGCAACGCTTTCATCCACTTTCATCCATGTTCATCTCAACTCTCGAACCCCGTTCACACGGGACCCCCTTTTGTCTGGGACAAGAGAGTCTACCACTATGTTTAGTGGATTCTATAGACGATTGGTTTGGGTGTGGAAAATGCAATCACATGGAATGCATGCAATGGCTATAGAACCATGGAACCAGAAACTTTTGAGGATCAAATGAGAGGGGAAAAAAAAACGGAAACACTTAAAGCTGCTTGCATTGAATCACTTGTCCCTTCTAGCGAAACTGGGTTTTGTTCAATTGATCATTTTGGGCATGTCCTTAAGTCACACTGAACGAAGAGAATACGTCCACTGTGAATATCACCACAACTACTTCTCTTTTCTATATTTGGTTATTACCTTAACCTCTATTCATGCTCATGTCCGAAAACTGCATGGTGTAAGTTGGATTTTGAACCTTATTTTCATGTTTGTTTCTATTAAAAGTGCTATTGGAACTAATCCCAGTTTCGTAGGAGAAAGCATGAAGGCCCCAAAATTAACCATATCCTGAGTTCACCACACGTCGTGTTGTAACACTCCCCCGAAGAGCAGGCCCTTTTCTGAACAGCAAACTATAGGCTATGCTCCCACCCTCAGAACAGGGCCACTTGCAATGTGCAACTTGCGAGCGGATGGAGAAGCGCTCAGATGTTTTCGGAAAATATAGATACGTTGCAGGAATTCGGTGCAAATGGCACGAAAGTGGGTGGTCCATCCAGCACAGCGACGCAGAGTGCATGCACGTGGGCATCCTTTATCTGCTCCCATCCAAAATAAAAGGTGAATTCTTCCACTGGTCTGACAACACGGCGCTCTGGCGGACAATTAGGGGTGCAATGATCAGATGAGAGAGGGAGGGAGAGAGCTTTCCACCTTCCTCAAGAGAAGGACGCTTGTCCGTGACTTTGCAATCGCGCTAGGATTTCTGTTAGGGACTACTGACTCATGTCGACAGGGGCCCGCCATAGCCCCTCCGGCAGTCAAAGAATGCCTTCAGTTGACCTAGCGCCCTGGTCCTGCTGCCGGATTAGAACGTGGCTCAATTCTGTTCCTCATCCCAAGTTTCACTCTCCCCATCCAGAAGGCTTTGCGTCGTCTTCGTGGTATGGATCATTCCCCCCTCTCGTCCGCGAGCTCTATGTCCTTCCCGACCGGAACCATCTCATGCTACGTGGTAGGCACCGCGCTAGATTCTGGAATCTCGCGCTGGTTCGCATCGCCTGATATTTCAGTTCGGCGATGACTGGTCCCGTCTCCTTGCGCTCGGAGACATCTGTGCAGTGGGTGGGTTCGGGAGCTCCTGGATAATAACTACAATCGCGACACACCCATTACGGACAGCTCATCCAGTTGAAATATCCACAAAGTCTTTTCGATTTTTTTGTGGGAAAAGTGAGCAAATTCCTGTCTTTTAGGCTGAGTTCGGAGTGGGAAAATAAAGCAACATCTGCTCGTAAAGCCACAGCACCTTCAGCCTTCCACCAATGATTCGTTTATCCTTTTGGACGTGTATTGGATGGATGTGGCGATTGTATTGGGCATCCATGTGAGGGTCGAAAAAGTTCGAACCTTCTCACTTGCTTTAAAGGAAAAAGAGGATAACAACATTGTGAGCTAAGACACCCCCGATGCCCATGGAAGTGCCACTGCAAGGTGGCAATAGAAAAATTGAAAGGGTCACCTTTCTCACTTCGAGGTTCACATTGTGCTGAGGCATGTGGAGTGAGGGATAATAGAATTAAGAGATGAGACTCAAGTGCATCAAAATAAGGTTCTACAATTCCTCTCCTTCAGGATCTAAGAAGTGCAATTTCGACTTATGTTTAGAATCGAGAGTCACCCTTTAAATGACTGATATCACTGGGATGTAATCCTCAAGCGTTGACGACAAAAGGTCGAAATGCAACGCAGAGTTGCAATGGGAAGTAATCCTCAAGGGTTGACGACTAAAGGTCGAAATGCAACGCAGAGTTGCAATGGGAAGTAATCCTCAAGGGTTGACGACTAAAGGTCGAAATGCAACGCAGAGTTGCAATGAGTTGCAATGTGTCACAGAGTTGTGACACGATTGGATCCTAGTAAGGACTCACTTTGATTCAAAACCAAGAGGGACTTGATGGGACAATTTTGGATTTATATTAAGATTGTTTTAAAGTCAAAATAAAGTTGTTTTATTGGGTGTTTTTAGAAGTGAAAAAAGAGCTCAAAGTGAGGCAACATTATATGTAGTATCAAAGCTTTTAAGATTGGATTTGGAAGTGAAGAATTGAAGTGAAATTTTTATAAGAAATTTTAGCTTAGGCAAAAGAAATAAGTCAAGATAGTGAACAAAACTACAAGACCAACTTCTCAATGATGTAAAGAAGAGATTCTTCAAACAAGTGCACAAGAGGTGCAAGTGTCAAGGACATGAATCTCAAAGAATTAAAAAGTTAATATACTCTTATATCACTCAAAAAGACTAGATAATTACTCTAAGATAATATAATATTAAATTAAAATGGCTATTGTCAAAGATAAGAAGAGTAAAAAGTCTTGAAATAAGACTAAGGATTAGAAATGCATTGAAAAGAGTGAAAAAGGCTTTATTCTTCCATCTATAAATATTCTTTAACTAGGAGCAATGTAGTGATATTCTATAGAACCTTCAACATGTATTGACTTTGTTAGATACATGTTTTAACTTGCAAGGCAAGTTATCTATGTATGCACTACATAATTTGCTTGTTCTATAAACTACTAACAAGTGTGATATGTGGCTAATTTATTGATGAATTTTTAGTCTACATATAAAATTAAAGAAACACCTACGAAGCTTCTCTAGAAGATTATGAAATCAATATGTATTTATTTAATTCTACTTAATCATATAAGTAATTATTGGAATAAATATATATGTTTGTGACAACAAGTCTGTCAAGAGATGACAAAGCTAATAAAGAGTTTAGTTTTTTTTTTTTATAAAAAAAACCTTACTTAAAGAAGAATAAACAGATAATAAAGAGGGGATTTAAGAAGAGCAAGAAGAACAAGTTGAAAGTTTACAAAAAACTCTAGATCCTCAAAGTAAAAAAAAAAGTGAAAGAGAAGGTTGAAATCCAAGGTCACAAAAAAAAAACTACTTCTAAAACCTCTAAAAACTCAATGGAAGGATCAAGAGTGAAAAAACAAAGTGTTATCTCTTTTTATGAAGTTGAAAAAATTATTAACAGGCTTATGAAAAAAGAAAACAAAAGAATTGAAAAGAAAATAGAAGTTAACCAATTTCTAATAGATTCTTTCATAAAAGAAAATATTAAAAAGAATATTTATTTGAAGGCCAAAAGGACAAATCAAGCTTATATAGAACCAAAATGAATCAACTTAAGAAGTCGAGGGGCACGGAGCACAAAAGAACCACAAGGTGGTTTCTCAAGAAAGTTGTGCATTAGTTGTCACAAACATACATATTTATAATAATATTTATCTATATGATTAAATAGAAATAAGTAAAAATAGATTTATTTCATTATATTTTTTAGAAAAGCTTCTTAGAAGCTTTATAGATGCTATTTTGACTTTACATGTATTTGTAGTTGATTATTAGGATAAAAACTTGGTCAATAAGTTAATCATGTATTGATAGCTTGCCAAACAAGCTAGATATGTGGTATACATATAAAAAAACTTATCTTGCAAATTAAGATATGTATCTTGTAAAGTCAAAAAAATTTGGAGGTTCTATAGGATATTGCCATATAGCTCTTAATTAAGAGTATATATGGAGGGAAGAATAAAGCCTTCTTCACTCTTGTCAATGCCTTTCTAGTCTTTAGTCTTGTTTTAAGACTTTCTAGTCTTTTTGTCTTTGGCAATAGCCATTTTAGTTTAATACCATATCATCTTAGAGTGACTTTCTAATTCTTTTGAGTGACACAAGAGTGTATTAAGAATTTCTTTCTTTAAGATTCATATCCTTAAAAAATTTGACAAGAATACTAACTTACAATTTTTGTCTTATTTTAGAAGTGAGTAGATTACTCTACTTCTATTGTTGTTTTTTGAAGGTTGCAGACTATCCACATTTAAATAAATAATCTTATTTTCTAACACTAATTTTTTTCTTGAAGAGAGTGGATTATCTCTCTTTGTAGAAATTTTCATTTGATATTAGAAGTTATGGATTATTTTAGTCTAATTTAACTTTTTGAATTTATTTGAGTTATCTATAGATTTTTTTTTATAGATATTACTTTTAGTAAAAGTGAGAATAGATTTAAATTTATTATAGATCTTTATGAGCTTATAAATACTCTAAGAGTAAAAATCTCATGTATTTCTGTTGTGAATCATAGAGGTATTATTTCTATGCCTATTTTAGAAGTTCAGAGTTTGTATCAAAAAATTATAAAGTAGAAGGAAGCAAGTAGATTGACTTCACA